ATGGAAAAAAAAAAAAAAAAAAAAAAAGCAATACATAAGGGCACCACCACTAATAAACAGTCGAGGAAAACTCACGCAATAATGAAATCAATTGCATATATCCATGCACACTGAATCACACATCATGAATGGGGGTTTTGAAGGGGAACAAAGGAGAGAGAGGTTACAGTTCCGTCTATAATTGCTGAGAGTGTCAAGTAGTCAAAAACATCTGTACAGTACCGCCACACATTAGCGTTTCCATACTTTCTCTGGCACTCATCATAAAAACCATAAACCTAGCAAGAAAGTCACAGCACCATGCATATTACAATGAAGTTCAAACCTTCATATAACATTCATGTTATCAACGAAGTATGAAGATGGAAGTTTTCAATAAAATGATCTCGACTCAGTAAGTTCGAGGAAAGAAAGTACAAAAAGGACTGGAACTATGGCTGTGGATAATGAGTATAAACAGGATTTTAGAACCAGAGCGTAACAGAATGCCAAAGACTTTATAGCTGTTTCCAAACAGAGTTAAAGATCAATTAATTCTTGTTCCCAAACTCCAAAATCCTCCAAGCTTCTATTCACTAAATTCAAATCTAGGACTACAGTCAGTCTTATGATAATCCCAATTTCATGACCTCAACGGATTTTAAACCCATCTCCTTACCAAATTGAACTTGAATTCAAGGTTTTTGCTACCATATTCAAAGTTAACATTAATTACAAAAACTACATGAGCAGGAAAGTTTTTATTGCACAATTTTACTAACTATCAATGCTTCAGCCAAAAAAAGGCAGATATATGGATCGAATTGAGGTGCAGTGAGTTGATGCAGAATACAAGCAAATGCAAGGATGACCATAGTATTTGTTGATTGTAAGGACTTACAGAATACTTGTGTCCTTCTGTTAAGGCATTTTCTCAACTCTGTTTTCAGAAGGAAAAGGAACATTGGACGGAGATGGAAACATAGATTGTTGAATGCCTAAATTCTCCCGTGCTTTTTACTATTTATAAGGGCTTTCAGAATGTTTGTGCATTTGAGAAAAGGCATTTTCTCAACTGTTTTCAGGAGGGAAAAAGAAATTGATGAGATGGAAACATGTATTGTTGAAGGCCTAAATTCTCCAACTCATCCATCATTGCAAATCTAGGGTCAAAGCAAAAGATTCATCTCCCTTCTTTTCTTAATAGCAGAGATTCATCTCCTTTCTTTTCCATTGTAGACATGGAGGTTTCAAATATGTTACTTTATAAGAGAGATAGCATCGTGACCTCAATAATAACCTAAACAGAAAATTCAAACCTGAGTAAGCTGTCTGCTCTCATGGTTTCCTCGTAAGAGTGTGATGTTAGCCGGATATCTAAGAAGACAAATAAATTTTGTTAAGAAAGGAAATTGATGGTTTTCCCAAAGAACGTCATAGCAAATAACAGAATAGAAAATCCAATCCAGCCAAATCATTTTTAGGACGTCTTTTGTACTTATAGGTGACAAATAAGTGCAGCCCAAACAAAAGGCCAAGTGATAAAATGAGCAAGACCCTCTTCTCACAAAAATTGCAAAGAAATAAATAAATACAACAAATATCTTGGAATATCTGCATGTAATGTTTAATATAAACTGAAATACGATAATATAAATTCAAATAAAATATTTAGGCTGCCAATCACATACATCCTCCTTTTGAATTGCCATTAATAAGAAATAGAAACAAAATTGCCCATGAACTTTACATACAACAAGATGACCGTCATAGAAATGATCCATTTAGTCACCCATATGCATAAAACTGACACCTAACCTTTATGTGCATGTGTTAAGTATAAATGATACACTTTCTTTTAATCCTCATTTTTGCTAATATTCTTTTAATCCTTGTTTTTGCTGACCAATTGATCTATTTCAGAGTTATTTATTTCATTGACCTTAATTTGCTTCACGATGGACAACCTTGCTGATTCTAAGAGCCAAAAATTATGTACCCCGTCCCCCACCCAAAAAAAATTGTAAAGAAATAAACTGTGAATTTATATGGTCTTGCAAACATAGAGAGCATTTTCAAACCCAGAAGCATGCATAAAACATTACCTGGCTTTAAGAAGCAAAAGAATAGTAAAAACTTCGAGACTGTTATAACCTCGATCAACAAAATCACCCTGACAATGAATGATTAATGATAATGTTAACCACCGCATAGAATCAAGCAAGTGACTGCGTCATAAATTGTCCAAAAAGTATAAAACATACCATGAAGATATAATTTGTCTCTGGTACATGACCTCCAGTCTGAAAAAGTTTCATCAGGTCATGGAACTGACCGTGAATGTCACCACAGACCGTTACAGGACTGTTGACAGGTTGCACATTAGATTCCTCAATGAGGATCTCTTTTACCTGTTATGCAGAAAGTAAGCAGCCATAACAGGCAAACTTTATAAGATTATCTAAAATTGCTAACACGAATGCACACACGCATACAGATATTGCCAATGAGGATCCTGTAGAAATACGTAATACGGCAGAAAACGTGCAATCAAAATCTTTCAAGATTCAACCGACAAAATCGTTTATAATACAAAGTCTCATTAAGCGAGTGAACGTATCACACATCCTCGTCGATATACACGAAGCACAAACACCATGTCGCAAATTTCCAATCAGAATTTCACGTCTGAACCTCCAACTGATCTCTGAGAATACGACCAACAACCTCGACATCCATTTCTCCAAAACTTCATTGAAGTACAAACCGGTGAGCTACGCGAGAGATTCAAACTAAAAGCTGTATAAACTAAAAATTCCGTCCACAGAACACGAAGCATAACCCCCGGTAGTAGAAGCAAAAGCCGCAGCATCAATGAAGATACGCAAGTGGTTTACTACACACACGAGGTTCCAAAATGTATAAACCCTAACTATCCTCAGATACATAAGGTTTTCAAGATTAATCGCAAACAAAAAGAAAACCAGGTTGTGGTTGGGATTAAGAACAAGAAAACCTTACATATTCGCAAAGAAGTTGAAGTTCGTCTTCAAGAAGATGCTGGCCTTCCTTGACCTTAACGATCCACTGGTCCAAATCCATGTCCCTGTTCCTCGGATTGCCAGCAACAGAAGAGTGAAAATGGCGCGAGAAGAACAAAACAACCCAGGAGAGAGAAGAAGAACAACAAGAACAAGAACTCCGATTGAAATTGAAAATTTCAGTGGAACGAGCCGACGCTGACCAGACAGATCTATCACACTCTCCGTCCGCGCCCTTCGGTTAATTTCTGAACAAAAGAACTTTGTTCTATAAATAAAATTTTTAAAATGTATATTTAACAAATAAATAAATAATAATATTATGATTCAATCAACATCGTATGTTATATAGTCCTACGACTTTTTAACGTTTTTATTACAATTTAACGTGATTTAATATAATATTTATTAAATATAAATAATTATTTAAATTCTTAGCCAACATCTCTGTTTCCCCCGATCCAAGAGGTCCTGCTGATCTCGAGTAATATTGTCAAGCTCAGAGGAAGGCGGTTGATGAGAAAGCATAATCAGGTGGAAAAGGATGGAAGAGACCCCCAACTACGACCACTTACCTTAGTGCAAGTAATACTGAAAGACCGGAAAAATTCTATGGAATAATGAATCTTTCAAATTGCATCATATTAACCGGTTATGATCATAGTATGATGGTAGTCGGGCAAGTATGCCCCCATCGTTTAGTGGTTCAGGCGTAATGGGCTTGGTATAGATCCGTAGCTCGCTCTGGGTTTTTAACCGAAACTGGGACTATGCATGGAAAAGCTCGATCAACATCCTCCTCTCCTGAACCGAACCGGAACCTTACTCCGGAGTGTTTTGTCAACCACAAGATCTAGTTTCGTTCAATCCAGAGATCATTTCGATTCCATTAGTAACGAGGATTCGGAATATCACACATTGATCAATCAAAGAGAGATTCAACAACTAAAAGAAAGATCGATTCTTTGGGATCCTTTCTTTCTTCAAACGAAACGGACAGATATAGAATCAGACCGATTCCCTAAATGCTTTTCTGGATATTCCTCAATGTCCTGGCTATTCACGGAACATGAGAAGCAGATGAATAATCATCCGCTTCCGAAAGAAATCGAAGAATTTCTCGGGAATCCTACAAGATCCATTCGTTATTTTTCTCTAACAGATGGTCAAAACTTCATATGGGTTCGAATCCTATTGAGAGGTTCACTCGAGATCATAAAATATACTAAACTTTAATAATTATAAAGTAAATTCAAATGTTTTTTTTTATTATAACATTTTTATTACATTCCTATTGTGAATATAATATTTACTAAATTAAATATAATTTTTAATCTTTAATAATTACAACATAAACTCAAATGAATTTAAATTTTTAATATTTTTATTAGATTTAAATAATGTGACAGAATATAATACTTATTGAATTAAATATAATTTTTAAATTTTAATAATTATAACATAAATTCAAATGATTTTTTTAATTTATTTATTTTTTTGACATTTTTATTACATTCTTTTAATTTAAATAACACAATTTAACGCGACTTGATATAATATTTATTAAATTATGTAAATTTAAATTTTTTACATTTTTATTATTCCTATAATTTGAATTACACAATTTAAAGTGACTAAATAAAATATTTACTGAATTAAATATAATTTTTAAACTTTAATAATTATGAGGTAAATCTAAATCTTTTTTATTTGAATTTTTAACATTTTTATAATTTGAATAACATAATTTAACGTGAATTAAATATAATTTTTTTACTTTAATAATTATAACATAAATTCAAATGTTTTTTTATTTAATTTTTAACAATTCGATTTAACGTGACTGAATATAATACTTTAGGTAAGATATTATTTACGTTTGACAGACATTATGTTATATTTTATTAAATTGACGTAAAAGTGACGATATATTGCATGTTATCAGGTCATTTTTGTTTTGAATTACATGTCCGTTCGACTCGTGCAGTAATTTAACTTGTTACCTAATCTTTTCTCTTGTTTTCAATAAGAGCTTGTCGGGTTGTATTTTCAGTTACTTTCGATCTATTTTTTGTTTGTGCATGATCTTTTATTACAACGTTTGAATAAATACGTTACACAATGTCATGTGTACATGTCGATACATGCACGTACCACCGACAATTATAGTCGAAGAATATCGAGTTAGTATTTTACTATTTTTCCTAATTAGGTTTCCACGACTTTCTTCACGTGAATCACGATGAGTTATTGATTGAAGGTGACTGGGCGACATAACAAAGAGAAAATTGCTCTATCCTCATTTTGAGAGCTCAAAATTATCACAATAAACTAAACGAACATAAATAATTATTGATCGAGACCACCACGAGGTAGTCGTGCATAACGATCGTTAGACGTTATTTCAAAATTTATTTACAAAATATTATTGTTTAATATAAATATCATTTTTTAAAAATAATTCTCATACATCTAACGGTGTAAAACTGGCAGCTATATTATTTTAGTTATATAAATAATGTATCTATAAAATAACTAATGGTTAAAATGTAAATATATATTTTTTTATTAATATTATTATTATCAATTAATTTCCGTCATTTATATTTTTATTTTCTCCATCCTCCAAAAATATTATTGGAAGATCTTTCCCCGTTCCCGGTTTTTTTTAAAGCCGGTTGTTCGATCCAGTTGGACCGGGCTTAACGGGCACCGACCCGTTGGATTATCTGAAATTCATGATCGCCGAGGCAGAGTGAGAGCGCGAGAGAAATTTTCGTTGAGAAGCTTCACGGCGTTCTCCGTTCAGCAGGAAAAGGGACGAAGGCTTGAAACGCTAGGGTTTGGAGGAAGTGCGAAAGTTCTACAAGTTTTGAATTCGATTAGGGTTTGGAGGAAGTGCGAAAGTTCTACAAGTTTTGAATTCGATTAGGGTTTGGAGGAAGTGCGAAAGTTCTACAAGTTTTGAATTCGATTAGGGTTTGGAGGAAGTGCGAAAGTTCTACAAGTTTTGAATTCGATTAGGGTTTGGAGGAAGTGCGAAAGTTCTACAAGTTTTGAATCCGATTAGGGTTTGGAGGAAGTGCGAAAGTTCTACAAGTTTTAAATTCAATTAGGGTTTGGCAACGTATCAGTCTTTTAAGAATTTAACTTCTGTTTTTTTCCTCACTGGACATCAAGATCATCCGAAAGTTCTGTCCAGGTTAGCCTCTTCTTAATTTTTCACTTTTGTTCTCGAAGAATTGCGTATTACGCGATGATTGTATTTTGAATTTGGTTTATTTTTGGGTGGTGAACACACGTGATACATGCCAAAACTTTGGCTTGAATATGAACAACTCTGAGATACGAAGTTAATCAGATAGTGCAGCTAGGAGAGATGGCAGTGAGCGTGAAGATCATTAGCGAGGAAAAGATCAGACCTTCCTCTCCAACGCTGGAAACCCAAAAACATCTGAAATTCTCCTCCTTAGATCAGCTAGCTCTGCCTGTTTATGTACCCGTCCTTTACTACGCTCCAGGCTGCGATGACAATCAAACATCCATGTCCCGCCGCCTGAAAGCTTCCTTATCCAAGGCATTAGCCCAATACTATCCATTCGCTGGCTGAGTTGTACATACACAGGCAGAGCTAGCTGATCTAAGAAGGAGAATTTCAGATGTTTTTGGGTTTCCAGCGTTGGAGAGGAAGGTCTGATCTTTTCCTCGCTAATGATCTTCACGCTCGCTGCCATCTCTCCTAGCTGCACTATCTGATTAACTTCGCATCTCAGAGTTGTTCATATTCAAGCCAAAGTTTTGGCATGTATCACGTGTGTTCACCACCCAAAAATCTTACCTTTTTTTAAATTTTTTAAATTTTTTATTTTTAAATGTAATTCATGTAGTAATCTTTGGACCTGCGTATATTTGTATTGTATTGATTTCGAAGTATGGCCGTCAGTTTAAATGTAAAGAGCTTGATGCAAAGTATGGCTAAAGAACAGGAGTTTTGAATTTATAGACTCGTCTATTTGGTAGGATTGTGCACGGGCTACTTCTGACTAGATATTTGATTAATTCAGGAGCTAGTCCATTTTCAAATAGATATTATGAGTTTTTGATAAGTAACATTTCTATCTATCTCATCGAAGTGGTGCTCTATATTGGGGAAGACATACAACATACAACTCAGACACATAGTCAATAGTTAAATATCATTATTACACTGGGAGGTTTTTTGTCGACTACAAAAGCATGTGCTCATGACTTCTGATTTTTTTGGTTCTGTTGGATTTGAGAACATTACAATGTACGTGAGTGAGGGAATTCGACCGGATGACCTCTTAAAAGATTGATTTAATTGTTGGGCCATGCCCCACGTTGGAACTTTTGTTACAATTAATGTTGGTACAAGGTTTAACAAATGTACTCAAAGCTCTTTTATGGGAACATTGATCTAAGGAATTTATGAATCATCGTAGGGCCAAGGTTGGCCTAGTGGTCACAAGGGCAAAATAAGATGGAATGAGTTCAATCTATGGTGGCCACCTACCTAGGATTTAATATCCTATGAGTTTTCATGTCAACCAAATGTAGTTAGGTAGACAATTGTTCGGTGAAATTTGTCGAGGTGCACACAAACTAACTCAGACACAAAAAAAAAAAAAAAAAAGATCAAAGGAATTTAGAATTACAGTACGTCCTTTATTCTTGCCAATTGGGATACAGGTGCTTTTTTTTGTAAAATATTTGGCTTTTAGGGAGATTACTCTTTTTTCTCCTCATTCAAACACTTGTTGACGTAAAACTTTTTCATTTTGGATTTCACAATGCACTAGAAAATAAATACAACTAATTTGTTCTCAGGAAGAACCTAAATTTTTACATGCCATCATTTTACTTTGGGATGATGATGTCTTTGATCATGATGTCACAGGAGGAAGGATGGATTTGGAGTCAGGCTCAGGGGGATCTGTTTCTGCTACAGCCATCGATTCCTCGAACATAGGGTTTCAGGTTTTCTCTCTCTTTCACTCACTGTTACGTGTATGAATTTCTAAATCATGCTTAGATTCTATTCCCCATTTTATACCTCTTCATTTTTCTACTGATGTTATTCGGTCCAATCTTTGAGCTTCGTTTTGTATGCTGACTTCTCTTTGTGTTGTTTTTGTTGTCTTTCTTGAAGCTTTTGAAGAAGCATGGTTGGAGGGAAGGAACAGGCCTTGGAATTTCTGAGCAGGTTGTTTTGCTTATAGTTTTCACACTTTATCATATACTCTAAATAAAATTTGTCATTGTTCAATAATTTTAAAACTAGTTGTACTGCAATTGTTTGATTAGAAACAATACTTAACCCGTACACTTGCGATATACAATTTTCACTACATGCTTAACAAAACTGGAAATTAGACCTTTGATGTTTTGGCGCAACATAACTTTATACAACTAACAAAATTTTAATGCATTAATATGGGCATATCTAAGCTAATAATGAGTAGGCTTTTATATGGGGATAAAAGGAAAGGAAGGAGAGAGTGGATTCTCAAACAAAGATAAATGTCTAGTAACTTCAGAAGTTTTTCTATTTTATGATGATTTTATAAAATATTTGTGAGTTTCCGTGCTAACTGTTCTTCACAGGACAACCGTCTGACCTATTACTTTTGGTTGCTAAGATAACTCATAGGATATTAAATCTTTGGTGGGTGGCTACCATGACTTGACTCATTCTCTCTAGGTCCTTTATTAGACTTCGAAAAAATTATAACATGAGAATTTGATGCAGTGTAGCAAGTAAGTTTGCGTTTGATAATTGAAGATGATGTTTAGGCAGTGGCAACCTCTGCTTCACTTTTGCTATTAGGGAATGGTCGAGGTGGGAAATCCCCGATTTGACTAGGATATGGTTGACCAAGGAATTTTTCCATTGGGAAAACCGATATTGTCTGGGAAATTCCTGAACCTGTCAGTTACTTAAAAAAATGTTGATTACTAAAATCTGTCTGCTAAAATTTCATGTGTGTATGTGTATATATATGAATATATGTTTGCTGATTATAAAAGAATTTAATCTGAAAACCTACTAGAGAACTCTCATGGCAGAAAAATTTGATCCCCATGTGGGAAGTACATGAACCTCCACCATTTCTCAATATATGGGTAAAGGGGTGGGGATAGGAAACTATAATTTTCTAGAGTCGGCCAGTAGAGCAGCTTCTGCTCGCTCTCCTGATAGAGTCGGTCGGGATGATTGATTCATGATCATCCTATGCAAGGGCAGGGAAGAAGCAGCAGATTATTGCTGGCATTGGTGCCTTACCATTTCAGAATTTTTGAATTATTCATTCAATTTTTTTGCATGCTTTAGAGAAGTTAAGGATGTCATATTGGAGATTAGAGTCCTTGAATCTTCCTCTTGAAGTACACTCCACGCCATCAAGAATTTACCAAGGATAGTCTTTTCGTCTATTTCCTAGATTTATTATTTGAATTCCCTCGTTTTTATCGTCCTAAGTAATTCGTTTGATATATTTATTTATTTGTAAAGGGGTTCTTTTTTCTTCTTATCATGTAACTGGGTCATTGTAGTGCGCCCTCCTGTTTACTCTTGGAAATTAACTGTTTGACCTCTCATGCAAGCAGGGTAGGTTGGAACCTGTACAGACATCTGTAAAGAATAATAAACGTGGTCTGGGAGCAGATAAAGTGAAGAAGAAGCTTAAAGAAAGTACTGATATTGCAGCCTCTGATACGAAAAACCAGGTAAAACTTCTGTTATATGAAGTTCTTGATCACCATCATCGATTTCCTAGGTGTAGTTTAGACGGGAAAGTATCTCGAAAAAATAGGAGCTTACGAAAATACCTTCCAATTAGGTTTAATTTCAAGAGTATAATTACGAATAGAATTATGTAGGGAGCACCATGAAGAAGAACTGTAGCAGTTAGTCTTCTTTACAATTGATTCGACTTTTGGTTACTCGTCTCGTAATTCCTCTCCATTCGAATCCCCTAAGCCAAGACCCTATTTATAGGTAGTGTTTTTTTGCCTTCTCTAAACATTGACCACATAATAGCTTAGAATATTGGTGTGAGATTCCACATGGTTGATGTGGGGAACGAAACATTCTTTGTAAGGGTGTGGAAACCTCTCCCTAGCGGACGCGTTTTAAAAATCTTGAGGGAAATTCCGAAAGGGAAACCTCAAAGAGGACAATATCTGCTAGCGGTGGACTTGGGCTTGGACTATTACATTATTTGGTAGCCCCCAAGAGAGTTTAACTTGTTGGCTTCGGTATCATGAAAATATATTTTTGGTAGCCCCCAAGAAAAAAGCATCTATTTGCTGAATGGAAGAGGGGAAATTACTATAAACTTTTCAGACGAATGGGTTAACGACACGAAGGTTTGATTAAGTTTGAATGTGCTCGATGTGCGAAATTGCATTATTTTGACATGGTCGTCATTTTTGCATATATAATTTGTTCACTCTACTCGCACCAAATAAAAGGAAAAGAATCATAGCTAACAAGTAATACTCTAATATTTTTGATCATCAGGAACGTCCTTCGTCGAAGAAAGCGAAGGCGATGTCGAAAAAGACGCGGAAGATGCTCGAGGAAGAAAGGTTATTTCGAGAGAAGGAATTCGAGAGGGCATTTTTCAGGGAATTTTGGCCAGATAATGTGTAATGTTATACATGAACTGGCACTTCCCAAATCATAATGTAAGCAAATTCAATTTCTTTGCCAAAAATCTTCTTTTAATTAGGGTTTATAGCAAGTTAGCATTCACCATGTAGTCTGTAGTTTGTAAATGTTTATGATTATTGAATTGATTTTATAATTATCCTAATGTATTATTATTCAATATATATACATTCATACATTACATAAAACATTCTTCTTTTAAATTTTGTTTACAATTATACATCGCTATCGATATCATAATCCAGTATTTATTTGTGATGTAACGTTTCGATTAGTTTTTATTAACATGTGGAGGTGAGAGGTAAAAACCGTTTACTTTTTTTTATCATATATAGTAACGGTTTTGACTTAATTTTTTATTTTAGTCATTTCACACTTAGGATCGAACAACTTTTCGTAAGGTTACCTCACCAAGAGCTCCCCGTCACAATGGAGGAACCAACCCACTTGTTGCCACGGGTTGACTTTTTTTGCTTATATGGGATCTCAGATGAAATACTATGAGCACGATGAGTTTTATGCTCATTCAAATTAATATAAACTCTCGAGGCTTTGCTTTAGGCTTCCCCAAAAGACCTTATTCGAATGAAGATAAGATTCTTCGCTTATAAATTCATGATCTTCCACTAAATTATCCAATGTGGGACCTCATTCAAATGGAGATAGTATTCTTCACTTATAAATTCATAAATTAATCAATACTTACTCTTAATAATCCTGAATTAAATTATAATTATAATCGGTAATTTATTTATGTAAAATGAATTTTATTTATGTATTATTAAAATTGGGAATAAATTAAGAAGCCGCGTCAGAAACCTAGAAGGCTTGTCCAAAATCGTCTGCACCTTGAGGTGCGGTTGAAGACGATAAAGCCCAGAGAGCGAGCGCTTCCATCCCTCCTTCACCAATGGCTTCCCTCACTTCCTCTTGCTGTTGCTGTTCCTATGCTTCTCAATTGCTTCCTCGCTCTTCCAAATTTCCATTATCACCATTTCCTTCTCCTTTCTCTCCATTCAACTTCTCGAAGCGCGCAAAACTTCTCTTAGTAGCGGCGAAGAAGAAGGAATCCGATGCAGTTCCTGTAGTGAAGAAGGAATCTACGGATTCCAAGGAAGAGGAATTCGTAGAGGTGGAAGAAGAGCTGCCATGGTATCAGGAGAAGGCATTGGACCTCGTGGAATTCACTGGTTCTGTCACTCAGGCACTTCCTGGCCCTAGGGTTGGCCAGAGCTCGTTGCCTTGGCTCCTTGCTGTTCCTCTTGCTTATTTGGGCGTCACTTTTGTTATCGCTTTCGTTAAGACTGTTCGGAAATTCAATTCCCCTAAAGAAAAACGCCGGAGACAGGTCTTCCTCCTCTCACTTGCTTTATAAATTACTACTTCACTGTGAAACTTTGTGTTAAAAAAGACATTGTGTCCTTGCTTGAAATAGCAATTTAGTTCTTGTAGTATAAAATTTAGGATGATTATAATTTGAATTTATGAATGATTTAGCATATACTATGAAAAATTCCATCGAAAGTGAAGTATTGGATCTCAGTATTTATTGATATAGTCCATAGAATTTTACAGCACATTTGGTCTTTGAGCAATTTATCAATGTGTCTACATCTACATCACACAGATTTTTCATATAGAATTTCATGGTAGCAACTAAATTATAAAATTTTTGAGGGATAGGAGGTAAATTTACTTAAATTTAAGAACTAAATTGTTACGAACTTTAAGCTAAAAAGCTAAATCGTTATGAAGGATAGGATAGGATGTTTACCTGAAGATAGTGATACTGGCGTTGTTCAACCGAAACTGAGATAGAGATGGGTGAGATCGGGGTTTAATTCTAGTGGCTAGTGGAAGCTATTAGCTATATTTGAATTACAGTTTACACTGATCGTAGTTGATATTTCTCAGGTCTCAAAAAATGCCATTCTCTGCTTGTCAGTAGATGAGCTGCTTGAGAAAGGAAGGGATGAAATAAAGCCGGAGGCTCTTGCTGAAATTGTGCAAAAGGTTAGATATGTTATATTTTTTCAATTCTTTTATAGAGTTGAAGCTGTCCTTCTTAATGGGAAGTGATGATTCTTGTCATCAACGGAATCGGATGCTAATACCTTGAGTTCTTCAAATAACGTCGCAATTTCAGTTAAACGTATTATATTCTTCGAACGAAGTGAGGCAGAATCCTTGAACTAAAGAAATTTACAAAAACTTTGTTAGACCTGCAGTTAGTGAAAATCTGCAGGAAGGAGTAAGGCCAAAAGGGAAGTATGTTTGAATAGAGCCAACAAGAACTGCCATATGAAAAATAATTTACACAAGCTCTATGAGTATTATCGAAAGTTTTTCTATTCTGTTCTTCCCTATTGTCTCACAGATCCAATTGAGCCAGATTTTACCGAAGGATCTAAGTCAGCTTATGAGTAACGATTAAAAATAGTTTTCAGCAGACCACATCATGCTAGACAATTCACATTATGAGTTGTAATAACTTCTAGTTTCCTCTCCAGACAGGTTTCAGTGTGGGTGAAATTTTGCGAAAGTATATACGTTATGCATTGAATGAGAAACCTTTCAACCCTGAATTAGTTTCCAACCTAATTCAGCTGAGAAAAGCTTCTGCATTGGAGGACACTCAGGTTGCTGAAATTCTGAATGAGGTATCAAGAAGGATTGAGAGAGATAAAGGTAACAGGATATTCTGTCACTTGTACTTTTAGTTTATTGTTAGCAAGGGGGACTTTGGAAAGCACATTATACGTCCGAAAAAACAAACACAATTAGGGAATAAAAATTTGTTTGAACATGACGAAATCAACGAAATAATCGAGGTTCCTATCATGCTTCATGCTTCCCTACGTCTTCACTCGAAAAAGATTTGAGAGAAAGGACTTGGTGGTAATGTAAAAGTAGTCAACTTTCTTTATATATCAGAAAGTAGTGAAACTACCTTGAAAAACTGAGTGATTTCGCTAGGTGTCATGGTCGTACTTATGCCTCAGCATGACTTCAATGCACATCTCTTTGGTGTGTTAGATGATGCGTCGTCCTCCTCAATCGCATCATGGCACTCGTCTGTCTTGGTGCTATGGCTGGGATGGGTGCCACTTGAGGGTTGCTGTTTTATTTGTTTCAATATGTAGTATGGTTGTGACATAGGGCAGACCCTTTTATTTAAAACTCTATTGAATTGCAGCCAAGTTCTCTGGTTCAGTATGAGCTCTTATTCCTGGAACTTCCAACTGTTACCCAACAGACTGAACTATTCTACGGTAAAGTCAGCAAGTGAAGGGTTCTTCTTAAAATTTTAATAAGAAAGTAACTTATCAACTATACAGATAGGTTGTCTCTTTGTGCGAGTGTCTTTTAAATTGTTTTTCATTATTGTTTCTTTACCACTGTTACTTCTTCAATTATATTTTTAGCAAATATTTACAGGTAGGTGTAAGAAGAACATTCAAGCTGTTCATCTTTCTGATAATTGTTCTTTATTTTTCAGGTCCAGTTGTTATGAATATGTCAGGCTATACTGAGAAGGGTTTCAAGAGAAAATTAGCCGTACAGGCCCTTTTCGGCAAAATCTTCTATCTATCTGAGGTTGGTAGGATGAACAGTAGATTGTGCAAAACTCCTGAAATTCAATTTTGTTTTCACCATTCTTCTCTTCATGTTTCAATTATGCATGATACACTTTCTCTTGATCTTTCTATCTATTTTGATTTTTCTTTAAAAGAAAAAGGTTTTAAAACCATTTTGGTCTCTAAACTTTTAAGTTTTGTTTTTCTGTTTTGGTCCCTAAACTTTCAAAATGTTCGTTATGGTCCTTGAACTTTTAATTTTGTTGCATTTTATTCCCTAAACATTCAAAATGTCTACTTTTTTTACCCTGATTTGAAAAAATAATTTTGGTCCTTACTGTCTCAAACGTATATGACTTGAAATCATGCTCATATTAATATGCTAGCACCCTACACTAAAACAAAATAAAGGTAAGAACTAAAATGGTCATCTTTTTTTGAAGTTCCATAGACATTTTATTTTAAAAGTTCAAAGACCAAAACGAATATTTTGAAAGCTTAAGGTCTAAAATGACACAAGATTGAAAATTGAAATACAAAAATGAGATTATTTTTTATTTTATTTTTATTTTTAAAGAGTCTATCTTCATATTTTCCAAACCAATTATCGTTGACGATCTCTATCCCTCTCTAATGAAATGGTTTCTGGATTTAAAAGGTGTTCAAAAGACGTTATGTTCTGAGCTCTTTTAACACTGCATATCATTAAAAGTAAAACATGTTTACATAGTATGGCAGTTGAAGTCAATATAAGACTCCTATCTGTTGCATTATAATGCAATGGATAGGATTAGTATACTGTATACTTGATTAATAGTATAGGCGGTCGTGTTTGTTTGTGTCCTTTGCATTACTATACACGATTAGCGTGACAAGAGATGATTTGATGAGGGCAGAACATGCTTTTCAGAGCTTTTGGTGCAAGTCATGACATTAGAATGTTCCGGATACGTCCCAAAAACAATCCAACAAAAAATGTTCGGGAATTATTGCTCATGGTTCTCTTGCAATTTTCCTCCCAAGTTTAACTGGTTTAATAATTTGTCTTACTGTCCAACAGCTTCCGGAGTTCTGTTCGAGAGATAGCTCGCTAACTGTCAAAGAAATATTCGGCGTTACAGAGTAAGTTCATGTCCTTAAATTCTTACTTTCCATTAGATTCTTGTGAGCCGTTGCACATGTGAAATCCCACATAAGTTGAAAAAGGGCGACACATACCTTATACGGGTATACGGGTGCGAAAACCTCTCCCTAACATATACATTTTAAAATCGTGAGGCTGACGGCTATATATAATGGACCAAAGTGGACAATATCTACTTATAGTTTAGATTTTCTAGCTTGAGTTATTAAGATGTGTTAAATATCACATATGATTGAATGCTATCATAGACTCGTAGACTTTAAACTTTTTGGTAGTGGAAATTTGTGAGATCTCACGTTGGTTGATGAGAGAGGAACAAAATATTTCTTGTAAGGGTGTGAAAACTTCTCCTTAGTAGACGCGTTTTAAAATTTTGAAACTGATAGCGATACGTAACGGATCAAAACAGACAATATCTACTAATAGTGAGCTTGAACTGTTACGAATGGTGTCAAAGCCAGACACCGGGCGGTATGCCAGCGAGGACGCTAGGTCTCCAAGGGGGGTGGATTATGAGATCTCACATCATTTGGAGAGGGGAACAAAATATTCTTGATAAGGGCATGGAAACCTTTCTCTAGTAGACGCGTTTTAAAACTGTGAGGTTGATGGCGATACATAACGAACCAAAGCGGATAATATATGCTAGCGGTGGGCTTGAGCTGTTGCAATGCTTCTTTTTTTTTTTCGATGTTTGATTTATACGAGTCTTGTTTGTTGTTTACAGTGAAGATGCTGAAAAACTAAGATTACACACTCTTTCTGAAGCTGGGGACATGGATTCTCTTCAAAAAATGGCTGACATTTCAGATTCTGAAGATTTAAAAGATGCCTCATCTGATGAACAAAAGGATTAAAAGAATGTACTTCTTTTCTGGGAGGTGAGACTATAACTATATAACTCAACCAGAGGCCCTTTTCCTTTTTCTTTTTTGTTTCTTTAAGCAATTTGAGGTTGGATTCTGAGTTTTTTAGCATCGTATATGAAATGACTTGGTAGATAATTTGATGAAATTGTTAACTAACTTTTGGTTTTAGTACCTTTCTGTTTTGATTCGTTAAAAACGTCTCCCGAGCTCGATTAAGATAATTGGTGTTAATTAGAACCTAGAAAGACGTGGTACGATGTATAGAGTAGATCTTGTTCCAATAAAAAGGTTGTGTTAATTTTCAATGCAAAAAGTTTGCTTTTGTAATTTCTTTTTTATATGATAATTTACGGTTAAATTACAAATTTGGGTCTTTTCGTTCTAAAAAAGTTAAATTTTGTGCATGCGATTTTAAAAATGTTAGAGAAATAGTCCCTATGATTTAATCAAATTCTCAAGAATAGTTCATATGATTTGATAAAATCTTTGTAAGTAGTCGTTTGATCAAGTTCTCGATGCCATAAAACATTCATAAATGGGCTATTAGCTTAGTGGTAGAGCGTGCCCTTAATAATTGCGTCGTTGTGCATGGGCTGTGAGGGCTCTAAGTCACAAGAATAATTCAATGTGCTCATTGACTCGTGGATATTATTATTTAAACTAAAAAAAAAAATCTATAAACCAATTTTGTGCATAATCATCCTCCACACCTTCATAGTTTTCCTTTAAATTTAATAATTATACTAAAAAATGTTCATATAATTGTAATTTTATGTGGTAGCATAGAAACATATTAACCCCTTTTATTATTATAAGCTTTCATTACAAATTATAATATTTTAAAAATGAAGCTTTTAAGACTCATTTTTTCTTACATTTTTCCATTTTATTTTTTAAAAAACTTATTTTAATCTATGAACCCCGACATTTTTGTTCTTGATGTTTTTCTTTTACAATTTCATTTTTTTTATTTAGATTAAATAATTTTTTTATAAAATTAGATTGAGAATTTTAATTTCTAATTTCACATATAATAATAATAATAATAATAATAATAAAAGAAATTAACGTTTTTTATAATGTAATAATTCGGTTCTCATAGTTTATAAACATAACGGTCGATTATAATGTATCGATTAATTCGTGTATTTATTTATTTATTTATTTATTGTTATATATATATATATATGAAAGAAAAGAATATATTTATGTTTGTAAATATCAATTGGGTAAGCAAACGAAGGAAAATGGGAAACAGAAGGCAGTGGGAAGTTGGGTGGAGAAACCGAGGCATACCAATTGCTTCAAATTCTTCACCATAATCGCTTCTCTCCCTCGATTCATAGCTCTTCCCATTTTTCCCACGAATTTCCCTCACAATGATTCATTATTCATTCTCGATTTCCAATCCTTCTTCTTCTACTTCATCTCATTCCCCTTTCCAATTCGTTAAACCCCACAGATTCTCCAATTATTTCGGCCGTTTTTGTCCTCTGATTCGATGTGATGCTGTGGATTCTTCTTCTTCTTCTTCCAAGGTGGCGGTGGAATCTTCTTCTTCTTCTTCTTCGTTTCCGGTATCGAAGGTGAGTAAGGTTATGGAGTCGCCAGAGATTTCTTCCAAGGCTGGTCCGTATCCTGGAGGAATGGGGCCTTACACTGGCAGAGATCCGACTGTGAAGAAGCCTGGTTGGTTGAGGCAACGAGCTCCTCAGGGAGAGAAGTTTCAGGAGGTTAAGAACTCGTTGTCTCGATTGAATCTCAATACTGTTTGTGAAGAGGCCCAATGCCCCAACATTGGAGAGGTTTCTCTCTCTCTCTCTCTCTCTCTCTTAGAACATAGAAAAGGTTATTATTGTTAACTTCATATCAGTGATTCCAAGAACTTTTCTCTGAAGCTTGAATTCACTAGGGAAATTTTGATCTGAACTTCATTTGGTTTTCTGTTTGTAATAGGTGGAATTGGGTTTATGTCAATGTGGGTAGCTTATAATTGAACAAATATGCAGGATATTGAAGTTTCAGGGATGAATATTATCCTCATGATTCTTATGTTCTTGGGCAGTGTTGGAATGGTGGAGGGGATGGTATTGCAACTGCTACAATTATGCTTCTTGGGGATACATGTACTCGGGGATGTAGATTTTGTGCTGTAAAGACTAGCAGAAACCCTGCACCTCCTGATCCTATGGAGCCTGTTAACACTGCTAAAGCTATTGCCAGTTGGGGGTATGAGATAATTAACCTGTATCTTTTTGCCTTAAAGAGTGAATATGGATGGGTGTTTCTTGTACTTAAAGAGTGTTTTTGCTTATTGTATTTTGTATTATGCTTGTATTTGAGTTTGATATAGATTATACTTGTGAGATCCCACATCGGTTGGAGAGGGGAAGAATCATTCCTTATAAGAGTGCGGAAAAAACGAAGCATTCCTTATAGAGGTGTGGAAAAACGAAGTATTCCTTATAAGGGTGTGGAAAAAACGAAGCATTCCATATAAGGGTGTGGAAAAAACGAGACATTCCTCATAAGGGTGTGGAAAAAACGAAAGCATTCCTCGTAAGGGGTAGAAAAAACGAAGCATTCCATATAAGGGTGTGGAAAAAACGAAGTATTCCTTATAAGGGTGTGGAAAAAAATGAAACATTCCTCATAAGGGTGTGGAAAAAATGAAGCATTCCTCATAAGGGTGTGGAAAAAAACGAAACATTCCTCATAAGGGTGTGGAAAAAACGAAGCACTCCTTGTAAGGGTGTGAAAACCTCTCCCTAACATACGTGTTTTAAAAAACCTTAAGGGGAAGCTGAAAGGGAAAGCCTAAAGAGGACAATATCTGCTAGTTGTGGGTTCGGGTAGTTACAAAAACAAATTGGACCATTTCTCGATTTGTGCGCGTGAAAATACATATATATTTTATGCTGTATATGTATATACTTCTTGTTGATATCTAAATTTTTCGATGTCCTGCTACGGATGCAAGATGAGAGAGTTGTTATGGAATGGTTGAATGACTTTAACATCTCAACATGAGAGGAAGTCGAATGAAATAGTGTTGCTTGGCTTTTATTGGCTATTTTCATGTACTTGTTTTAAATTAATGATATTGAATTCTTTTTCTATATTCCTTATCAGTGTAGATTACATAGTCCTAACAAGTGTAGATCGTGACGATATTCCTGATGGAGGAAGCGGACATTTTGCTCAGACGGTCAAAGCTATGAAGGTCGAACAGATTTTGCTACAATAGTTTTGATCTCCTTATCCATATCCTGTAATTGTTGAAGGGTTTTTTATAAAAATTACTAGAAGTTTGATTTATGTTAATGAATCTATTCTGCAGGAACTTAAGCCCGAGATCATGGTCGAGTGTTTAACTTCTGATTTTCGAGGTGACTTGAAGGCTGTAGAGACTCTAGTGCACTCAGGATTAGATGTATTTGCTCATAATGTTGAGACCGTGAAACGTCTTCAACGAATTGTTAGAGATCCTCGAGCTGGGTATGTTGCATCATCATTTAATTTGCTTTGCGAACATGTCCCCAAGGTTGAATATAGTATTGCCTTAAGATTCCTAAATCTTAAATCATTTGTTTAGTGAAATCCTTGAAAAGATTCAAAAGAAATATATAGCTTGTTTCTAAATGTTAGCAAACAAAACAAGGTCCGTAGTTTTATGTTTAGTAATATTTAAGAACATGCTTACTCCTTTCAATAACTCAGACCCTGTGACATCTGCTTTCTGAAGAACCAACAAGGATTTCTCAAGTCGAATAGGCTGTAATTACGAACGCTATCATGCTTGATGCTCATTCATATTTTTAAGTAGTTTTTTTTCTTGCTCCTTCTGGTCTAAATGGCTCGAGTTCTATCGAAACTCGATGAAAAGCTGCATTGGATCCTGGGTGTGATGGCATGTTTGTTTTAAACTCGTTATGGTAAAAGTTCTTTTATAAATTACAGCCGAGAACTTTTGGGTGTGATGGAATCTGGTTTTTGTGATTTCATTCTTTGCAATTGGACTTTGTTTTGAAGAAATAATTATTTCATTAGCCCTTCTGTAGTTTTGTTTCGTGCTCTAGCATGTCATCAAAATCACTAAACAAAGGCTTCGACCTTGTAATGGCCCTGATATTGTCCTCTTTGGGTTTTCCTTTCTGGCTTCCCCTCGAGGTTTTTAAAACGCGTCTAATAGGGAGAGGTTTCCACACCCTTATAAAAAATGTTTCGTTCTCCTTCCTAACCAATGTGGGATCTCATAATTCACCCCCTTCGGAGCCCAACATCCTCGCTAGCACTCGTTCCCTTCTCCAATTGATGTGGGACAGGGGCCTAGCATCCTTGCTGGCACACCGTCTCATGTCCACCCCCTTCGGGGCTCAGCCTCTTCACTGGCACATCATCCGGTGTCTAGCTCTGATACCATTTGTAACAGCCCAAGCCCACCACTAGTAGATATTATTCTCTCTAGGCTTTCTCTTCTGGGCTTCTCCTCAAGTTTTTAAAACGCATCTACTAGGGAGAGGTTTCTACCCCTTTATAAAAAATGTTTCATTCTCCTCCTCAACCGACATGAGATCTCACAGACCTATTTGGAATCCTTATCATTCTTCAGTTTTTTCCTTTTCTTGTAATCCAGCCTTGCCTAGTCAACATTCTTACGATCAGTTTGGTACTGTGCAGATATGACCAGAGCTTAGCCGTTCTAAAACATGCAAAGCACAGTAAGGAGGGAATGATCACCAAATCTTCAATCATGTTGGGCCTCGGAGAAACCGACGATGAATTGAAGGAAGCTCTAGCTGATTTAAGGGCCATCGATGTCGATATTCTTACACTCGGGCAGTATTTGCAGGTTCGTTAATGCTTAACTATCTGACCTGTGCAGAAATACTTATTCCTTGGGTCGAAATAAGTTTTCCTCGACTTACATGCCACGGAACCGATTTAAACCAAACAAGCCAAATTTGGCCGAGTTCTTAGTTCTTTTGGTTAGGGCTTATACTGGTTTTAATGTATATCATGGATGTTTGGTCTGCTGAGAGCCTGCATCAGCTTATTAATATAAGCAGTTTGAGTTTTCCCTCACTTGTCGACTCTTTCGTTGTTATTCTTAAGACACGGTCGTCCTCTTGCAGCCCACACCATTACACCTGACTGTCAAGGAATACGTCACGCCCGAAAAGTTTGCATTCTGGAAAGAATACGGAGAGTCGATTGGATTCCGATATGTAGCTAGTGGACCTCTGGTAAGCTTTCTCTGTAAACATTTTATACTCCCATCACCAAGACAATTGCAGCCATTTCCTACACCAAATTTTCCACCAAACTGAGTTCATTTGGTACTCTTTCCTTATTTGGTCAGGTTCGATCCTCATATCGAGCAGGCGAGCTCTTCGTCCAAACCATGGTTAGAGAAAGAGTCAAAGACACAACCGTAACTTGAAGGATTGACATTCCAGCTGTGACGTGAGCTCGAGTCATTAGCAGCGTCTCGGGATAGAGTATCTGTAACATAGAAAAAAGAAAAAGGAGAGGAATGATCTTAGAGGAGAAGCCATGGTCAGCTGAGGCAAGTTAGAACTGGTATGGCTCTCCTGAGTTGGTTTCTTCTCTTTGCAAGTTATTACTCTTTTATTGACATATTTTTGTCTCTTTCTTGAGATCTCATTAATATACTCTTTCAACTTTAGTTTAATCACATATTATGAGTAAGCTTACTTTATTTTGTTTCAAGTTTTTGGAATATTGTCCTTTTTTTAATTATAAAAATATGACGTTCAGTTGGTTAGTTCTTTGTTCGATTACACTAACTCTTGCTACTAGCCTTGAACAAGTGGATCTCCTATCTATACCCGATAGCTTGAACATGCTTGATGGTTGATAACTAAAGAGCAATTATTATTAAAAGTGATTCCTTCGATCAAGAACTAGATTCAAGCGATTGTGCCTACCAATCAAGACAAGAAGGTGGGACTTTGATGTCCCACATTGGTTGGGGAGGAGAACAAACCCTTATTTATAAGGGTGTGGAAACCTTCCCCTACAGACTCGTTTTATGAAAGGAAAAGTTCAAAAAAGACAATATCTGCTAGCGGTGGGCCTAGGCCGTTACAAATGGTATCAAATCCAGACACCGGACGATGTGCTAGCCTTCTCGTTGTTCCTCGAAGGGGGGTAGACACGAGGCGGTGCCAGTAAGGACACTAGGCCCCAAAGGGGGGTGGATTTTGGGGCGGTCCCACATTGATTGGAGGAAGGAAAGAGTGTCAGCGATACGTTTTTAAAGTCTTGAGGGAAAGCCTGAAAGGGAAAGCCCAAAGAAGACAATACCAGCTATCGGTGGGCCTGGGCTGTTACAGGGACGCCATCCCACCTCTTGACCGAAGAGCAAAGCCACCTCACACTCTCCCCTTCTCCATTGAGACTGAGTTTGCTTGCATCTGATTTAAGTCTATTTTCTATTACGCATTCAATTCTTAATCAAATTTTAAACTATTAATAAATGAATTATACGTCTTATTTTTAAAATTAATAATTTAAATGGTTATTAAATATGGTAGTTGTTTACTCCTAAATGTAATCAAAATAATATGAACACTATAAACACCTAAACATGTGTTCGGGTTTGGATTACCGTAACAACTCGTAATAACCTTCTATAAATATAGATATATTTTAACTATTAAAAATCATCCATATATTATTTATATATATATTAAAACAAATATGGAAAGTGGAAATTTGAAGAACTATGAAATGAGAAATTTTTTTAAAAGAATTTCATTTATGGTAATATGATTAATTCATTTGAACAAATGTAATAAAAAATAATAAATAAATAAATAAAAAGTTGATACTTTTCAATGAAACTCCCCAAAGGAATTGAGAAATGGCACATGGGCTTTTTGGTCATTTGCATGTATAGTTCGATTCTCGCTAAGGTTTGCCCGATAAAAGCGTTCATATGAATCTAATAACCCGACTAACCTAGATTAACAACCCAAATCATAAAAACTAGGTTGGGTTTGTTTTATGAAAGTCTCACGTTGGTTGATTTAAAGAATGATCATGGGTCTATAATCAACGAATACTCTCTCTATTGATTTGAGGCATTTCTAGGAAGTCCAAAACAAAGCCACGAGAACTTATATTCAAAGTTGACAATATTATACCATTGTGGAGAGTCGTGTTCGGGTTAAACTTTTTCAGTTTATGGTTGTGTTTAATTTTTTAATAATCAAAATTCAAATTGGTTTGTGGGTTATTTTTTTGTCGGGTCAACCCACCAACCTGAAACTATGGTTACAACCCAACCCAATCCTGCTATACTTTAAAAAAATTTAAGAATGTTTAACGTCTATAATTAATGTTAGTGATGCATCGTTACTAGTAAACGTTTGATATTTGAACTTTATGATATTATAGCTATTAATGTAACATTTATGGTGAACGTATAGGATTTTTTTTAAATAATTAAAAAAAAAAAAACCCGACTGTTCAACCATACTCAACCCGAAAATAAAAGGTTAATTGAGTTGGGTTAAAAACTCTATTCAAGCTGTTCGGGTCATTGGTCAATAAATTTTCTAACTAAACTGGTGTATCACACGACATTATAAATAATTTTAAGAATAATCGTAATTATTTTTGCAATATATAAATTTAGGGTCAAGTAGTGACTGTTTGGAGTATCAAAATCGTACTATGGAATTAATTAATTATAAATATTAACATAAAATATATAAATTATTTGTCACGCAATAAAATAAAACCGTCAACATCATATCAGACAACAATGGTCTATTTTCAACACATGGGGACTAAAAAATAAAATAAAATAATATTAAATTAATTTACAATTTTAATATTTTTAAATTTTCAACTTTTTGACCGTTTCTAAATTTACTAAATACAAAAATATAAATTTTAGGGTTAAATTTATATTTAATAAATCAATTATCTTAATTTAATATTTTAATACATATTGGTTTGTATTTGGTTAGCCTCTTTAAAACACACCCTTAAGGAATGTTTAGCTCTTCTTTTTAACCGACGTAGGATCTCACAATTCACCTCTCTTTAGAGGTTAGCGTTTTCACTGGCACATCGCCTAGTGTCGGGTTTTGATACTATTAGTAACAGTCACAAGCCCATCACTAGTAGATATTGTCCACTTTGACCCGTTTCGTACATCAACTTCACGATTTTAAAACGATCTATTAAAGAGAGATTCGTTTTACTATCTAGGTTATAATTTAACCATAGGTAAAAGTAATAATTGAAGTCTAAAAATAAGAAAGATGTGAATTAGTTATGGGGAAAAGTGAAGGGCCAAAAACAACCGTCGGCGCTTGGTTTCTTAATATAAAACAATTGGCTACCTCTTTATTAATTTTTTTAAATATATTTATATAATTAGCTTAATAATATATAAAAATAAAAAATAAATCAATTTAAATATAGCTCAACTATTCATTCTTCATGGAGAGTTAATATGTGACGTTCCACATTGGTTGAAAAGGGGAACAAAACAAATCACTATTTATAAAGGTATAGAAACATTTCCATAACAGACGCGTTTTAAAGCCTTGCGAGGAGCACGAAAGGAGAAGCCCAAAGAGAATAATACTTGCTAGTAGTGGACCTGGGTCGTTACATAATCCCGCACGTTTTTTTAGCTGAAAAATAGTGAAGAATTATCATCGAGTTGCAAAATTAGTTAATAAAAAAAAACTATAGGAGAAAAACACATAAATTTAAATATTTTACTAGATTTATTATTTTTTACCGTAGTAAAAATATTATTAGGTTGAAAATTACAGGGGGTAAAAAAAGTAAATGGTTAATTAAAATTTTTTATTGGAAAATGAAAAAGAGAAGGGAGAAACGGGTGGAATATTTAGGGTAATATTCCTCAATAATTCTTTTTCTTGTCCCACAAGTTACGGCGCGTGAAAGAAGGTTCTAGAAGTGCGCGTGGGGGCTTCCAAACCCATGCAGCCCATAGTTAGAGGCTAGATGGCCGTTAGTCCAGAAAGTCCCGCGCCACGCGCTTCCCTCACGCACACAGCTTTCTACTTTCCCTCCCACATTTTTCATGCGAACCACCAATTAAAAAAAAAAAATTAATTAATTAATTATTTCCTCCAAAAATAAAATAAATAATTTATTTGTTAAATTATTATTTTCCTCCTCCTAATTTCGCAATACTTTCAATAAAAATAAAATTAAAAAGAAAAATTATTTAAATAATTTTAAGTCGTGTAAATGAAATTTAAGTTTATTAAAAGATTTTTACATTTATTTTTTTAAATAATATATATATATATATATATATATAATTAATTAATTAAGAAAAATATTTTAAATTATTATATTATTTTTTAAAATTAATTAATTTAATTACGAAAGTTTCCATATTAAAACTCCATTGTTTAGGTCAAAGAATTTGATATTTGGACAAATATTCTTCGGCTATATGAATAAATAGTTTTACAGAGCGGTATTGGTAAAGAAGCACAAACGGTGGTAGCCGAAGCTTTGTGGTACTTTCTCCCAGCGCACAGAGCTCGAACAGTTCAAATTTATTGAGATTTGAGGAATAAGAAGAACAAGATTCCGAAGAATCATACGAGTTTGTAGTTCGAGAGGTAAATGAAGCTTTCTATCGATCGTTTTTTTGTTTTTTTTTTTGTTTTTTTTCTGTTTCTGTTCGTCTTTTGGATGTTGATTCTAATGTTTTGATGTTTCCCTGTTTTTTCTCCTCTTCCGAAATTTCTGTTCTTCGTGTTGTTTAACATCTCTGTTGTTCCTGTTCTTCGGATCTCATTCTATTACCTATTCTGGATTGATTTTTATTTTATTTTATTTTTGTTGTGTTTCTCTCTCTTTTTTCTTTTGGTTTGTTTGATTTCTGATTTGTTTAACAGAACCCTAGGGGAAGAGGAAGTAGATCAGTGTGAAAGAGAAAAATAGTTGCAGATGGCCAATATTGATATTGAGGGGATTCTTAAGGAACTTCCAAATGATGGGCGTATACCCAAAACGAAAATTGTTTGTACTCTGGGACCTGCTTCCCGATCGGTGGCTATGATTGAGAAGCTTCTCAAGGCTGGCATGAATGTTGCTCGTTTCAATTTCTCTCATGGTACTCATGAGTATCATCAAGAGACCTTGGACAACCTCAGGACCGCCATGCAGAATACTCAAATCCTTTGTGCTGTCATGCTTGATACCAAGGTCTGTCACTTTCTCCTGTTATGATCTTATCTTTAAACTGATTAGCCATGCAATTCTGTCAGGATCTGGTTACTTTATATTCTTGAAAATTATTCGTTGGTTCTGGCTTGGGTGATCTGAAATGGATGGAAGAACTAAGCAGGATCTGATTACTTAACTTGGATTATTGATTTTGGCATATGAAATATTCATGTTTTGTTGCATCTTAATCCAGTTGCTAGGTTAAAGAGCATTTCAAATGACACCTCGTTGAAATCAACAAATCCAATGGCACCATCTAAATTTAGGAGAACCCACATCTAAATACCATGATGAAACTTGGAGCCAATCTTGTATTTCATTTCCTTTTTCTGTCGCCTATATTCCAAAGAAGCACAATGTGGGTTCTATTTGAAATTTCTAAAATTTTTTAAGCCAATAAAATGCTGTTAACAAAAAGTATTCAATCTAGAACTTTTCATGAGAAATAGTTAGGCTTGTTACTTGATTTGAATCTGGTATATTTTGATTGATTATTATGAACTTGTACAAAGCCTTTAGTTATCTTACAACATTTCCGTAATCCTTTGCATGTCTAATGTGAAGATGCTGTCTATTTAGGTCAATTTTCCTGTTCATATGCCGTGTTTTTGCTACCTTTCATGCACAATTCTTACTACTGGGCTTCTTAAATCTCTATGCTAGTCCATGCATTGAAACCAGGAAATAATATATTGTACTGTTTATACTAATAGACTAGTATAAATATACTTCTAAAAGGAAGGGTCAGATAACTCACGCACTTGTGAAGAGTTCAAAACATCCTGACATACTGGCTTTACTCAATTTTGTGTTCTTTTAGCACTTCCAAACTGATTTTTTATGATGCTCCTCTTATTCATCATGGTAGGGACCGGAGATTCGGACTGGTTTCTTGAAGGATGGGAAACCAGTTCAACTGAAGGAAGGAGAGGAAGTCACCATAACTACGGATTATAGCATCAAGGGGGATGAGAAAATGATCTCAATGAGTTACCAGAAGCTGGCTGTGGACTTGAAACCAGGAAATAATATATTGTGCTCAGATGGCACCATCACCCTCACAGTCTTGTCTTGTGATACAGAAGCTGGGAAGGTGGTATGCCGTTGTGAAAACACTGCGATGTTGGGAGAAAGAAAGAATGTGAATCTTCCTGGTGTGGTTGTGGACCTTCCCACCCTAACAAAAAAGGATGAAGAGGATATTCTTGGTTGGGGTGTTCCCAACAGTATTGATATGATTGCTCTCTCATTTGTTCGCAAGGGTTCTGATCTAGTGAATGTCCGGAGGGTTCTGGGCCCCCATGCCAAGCATATAAAACTGATGTCAAAGGTATGTATTGTGCTTCCAGATCAGGGTTTTATTGCATGCGTTGCTTGACTGCAAATTGGTAATTACTTCAAGTTTGGATATACATTTTCATCAGGGAAATTAGCATTTCATGCCTAAAAGCAAGCATAATAGGAAAGCCTTGCTTTGTTTAATCACTTAAAAATCGTCTCTATTAATGAATGTCAGTTCATTCGAAGCTGTTTGGCGAGCCTTGCTTTGTTGATTTCTTCCTTTTGAAATCCTTGTTGTCATTGCTTCCATATATGTACATGGCATGTTCGAAGGTTTGAATTCTTAGTTGCGTTATTTGTAGGCTAGTTGGGTGGGTCCTGAGTTGTTACTCGTCTTCCAATAGTATTTTTTAGGATATACTTTTTATTTGGTCTGTTTCTTTAACAATAATGTTCATTTCCAATATCATTATATCTGTTGGATCAAATGGTAATTTCTCTTCTAATGTGAATACCCAAGGTTGAGAACCAGGAGGGAGTTATCAATTTTGATGAAATTTTGCGTGAGACTGATGCATTCATGGTTGCTCGAGGTGATCTTGGAATGGAAATTCCAGTCGAGAAGATCTTCTTGGCACAAAAAATGATGATTTACAAGTGTAATCTTGCTGGGAAACCTGTGGTTACAGCCACTCAGATGCTTGAATCAATGATCAAATCTCCACGGCCAACCCGTGCAGAAGCCACAGATGTCGCTAATGCTGTTCTTGATGGCACAGATTGTGTTATGCTTAGTGGTGAGAGTGCAGCTGGGGCTTATCCTGAAATTGCTGTGAAAACCATGGCACGTATTTGCATCGAAGCTGAGTCATCCTTGGACTATGGGGTCATTTTCAAGGAGATGATAAGGTCCACTCCACTTCCAATGAGCCCATTGGAAAGTCTTGCATCCTCAGCTGTTCGAACTGCTAACAAGGCAAAAGCAAAACTCATCGTCGTGTTGACTCGTGGTGGAACCACAGCCAAGTTGGTTGCTAAGTACAGACCAGCTGTCCCAATCCTCTCAGTCGTCGTTCCAGTTTTAACTACCGATTCTTTCGATTGGGCCTGCAGTGACGAATCCCCAGCCAGACACAGCCTGATCCACAGAGGTTTGATTCCTATACTGGCTGAAGGATCTGCAAAGGCCACTGATGCAGAATCCACTGAAGTGATACTAGAGGCTGCTCTGAAATCAGCCATAGGTAAGGGACTGTGCAAACCAGGTGACGCCATTGTCGCACTTCACCGTATCGGAGCTGCCTCGGTCATCAAGATATGCATTGTGAAATGAATCAAATAGACGACCGAATTCAGCAGCATCGGGCCCCGTGTTCAAGAAGTTGCCCAGGTGTCTTCCTTTACCTTTATTTATCCTTGCATTCAGATCTCAACCTATCATTTTGCTAATTATTATAAGCATAGTTATTAAGTATTTCTCCTAAACAGGGCTGAGCCGGTACTTTGTTTTTCCTGTTGTGTAAGGGGGTGGGTTATACACACCCCTTGATTTTCTTGGACTGCTGTCTGTGTAATTTTGAAGAGCTAAGAGTTTATGCTATTATTATTAAATCCAATCTTCTCATGTTAGGACGAATAAAGGATTGAATGGACTTTCATAGCTCTTTTGTTCTTGAAATTCCCAAATTTTTGTGTGTTTAGAACTATAAATCATTTGTACTATGTGTGACTATGGTTTATATCCATCCATTTTATTTTTGTTTTCCCCATTTCTGTTATTTTCAAGCTTTATATCTCTTTAGTTCCTTTGTGATTTTAGTATTTGGGTCCGTTTGTGCCCGTCTCGACCAATCTCACGAGACCGAAATACAGGATTTTATTACGTCCATACCGACCTTTTCTTGGCTCGTATGATTTTTATTATTTTTCGACCAGCCTTTTCTTGTATCAACTCTGATTTTGGTGTTAATCAGATTACACTCCTAATTCTTTCAGTATATTTCTTTCTAAAACTGTTTTGAATTCGCTAGATTAATAAAAATATTTCTAAATAACATTTAAAACTCTTTTATTTTTTATAATAAAAAAAAGTTTTAAAAAATTATTATTATTATAATCGTTATTTTGTCTATGGCTTTAAAAGGTGTTTAAAAAGGGTATTAATGATATCTTTTAAACAAATGATTTTTTAAAGTTAAAGAATATTATTGAAAATTTAAAAGATATTTTTAAAACTTTTTTTTTTTCAACGTTAAAAGAATATTATTGAAACATTTTTATAAGTATTTTTAAAATAAGCTTTTTATTTATTATTAATTTTTTTATAAAGGTGTGTGTTTTTTTTTAGAGTTTTAAAATTTTTTAATTTTAAAAATATTATTAAAATTAAAAGTATGAAAAGAAAAAGAAAAAGAAAAAGAAAAAAGGGTGGCGTTGAATTATGAGTGCCGAAAAGGAATAAAAATAAAATACTTTAAATTTATTTACATCAAATCAAACGAAATATCCCAAAGCTCCATATCACTTTTCATCATTGTTATTTTATTAAATCAATTTGTTTTTTCAAAATAATATCTATTTCATTTTTTTAAAATAATAATAAAAACCATTTATTTCACCATATATTTTCAAACCCAAAATATATATTTTTTTTCTTTCAAATTTTTATTTTTTTAATTACTTAAATTTGAATCTAAAAGAATTAATACATTTTTACTCATAAATTAAAAAATAATAATAATTCAAAATATTACATGTTATATTTTTAGTTTTCCAATACTATGATTGATTTCATAACCTTTTTTGGTTGACGTGGTGAGATTTGATCCATTCATTTTATTTTATATTATTTGTTTGCTATTGAGTTAAAAAATTATTTAATTATTTATTTATATTTTAATAAAAATATTCATTATTAATTAAGTAAAATACAACATAGAGTTGAAGACAAAAAGATTCCATCTCCTTAATTATAATATCAATCAATAAAAACAAAACATAAATTTCAAAATAATAATAAAAAAAACCCAACAAATTTGACCTAAAAAATGTATTAAAAATAACCCAATAAATTAATAAAAATATTCCCAAATTTTTATATAACATTTCAAAAATATTCTTAAACTTTCAAAAGTTTGAAGGGTACGTTCATCGTTAATTTTAGATGAGAACCGTCAGTACATTATTTAAAAAATACACGTGAAGTTTCAAAAGTTTTATTAATACTTTTAAACTTTTTTTGAACGTGAAGAATACCCTTACCCTCAGCATAGAATCACGTTTAAAAAATATCCATGAAACGTAACGTTAAAAATACCCTTACCTTCAACATAGCTCAACTCGTTAAGATGGACATCAAAAGTATAAGGGTATTAATGTTACTTTTGAAAGCTCACACGAGTATTTTTTAAACGTGACACTAACCGTTTCGTTCATATACTAATGGTAAGGGTATTTTTGAAAATTTTAAAAAGTTTAAGGGTATTAATGACATTTTCAAAAAGTTCAAACTTATTTTTTTAAACAAAATATTATTTTTATTTTTATTCTTGAATTTTTTTATTCCTAAAATTGAAGGGTATTATTGGAATATTTAAAAATTGAAAAGTATTTTATTTCAATTAAAAATAGAGAAAATATTTTTATTAATTTATTTTCTTAGATTAGAAATCAGCCCCCACTATTCCACAAACCAAACACTCCCAAACAAAAAGAGGAGGAGAAAAACAAGTTCGTGGATATGATTTTGATTGTAACCAAACAGCCTTGAAACTATTCTCCACTAATGGTAAAAAAAAAAAAGAGAGAGTAAATTTTTAGGGTAAAAAGGTAAAAAAAAAAAGATAGCATTTGAGAGTTGTTTTATTTCTATGTCAAATATGAATTTTGGAGGTCAATTTGAACATACATCATCCAATTAAAATGTTATTCCGAACTTATTAGAGTTAAAATAATTTTGATGGGTAAATTAATTTTTAAATAAGTTAAAATTTTGAGATTATCGGGTTTGTTACTAGTTTGACTTTTAAAATTTACGGTATTTTTTTTCTTTAAATTATTGAATGATAAATAATAATGGTATCCATTTTTAATTTAGAGATTTTGTTAGTAATTTAATTATTTTCACTTGATTTTTCCATTTTAAATATGAACGAAATCTTATCATAAAAAAAATTACCACATAATTTTCCTAAAATAATAATTTATTAATAGTCTAAAAAATCGTACTCGGTGATGGATCGAGCATAAGCCCCCTAGAAGGGAGCACTAGAGAGATCGAGAGCCACTTTGCACTCAGACCCTGTTTCACCATGAGACACTATCAATGAGTCGAGTTGTTTAGGGTAGACCTAGAAGCCTGCGAGCGTGGACCTTCCGAGAGCGGGTGGAAATTATACATTAATAATTTAAATAATTTTCTACCTACATTGTTTAATTAAAAGAAAATTCAAAATCTTAGCTCAATTAATTAAAATAAATATTAAAAACAAAACAGAGGTCAAATAAACCACACAAAATTCAAAGACATAATTTAAAATTTTTAACTTAGGAATTAAATTGATCAACATAATGATTAAAATTAAGAATTTGATTAGTCACAAATTGACATGAAATTAAACTTACAACCAATTATAAATTGACACGTGTCCAATTTTAATTGGAAGATATTAACAAATCCTAAAATTATAAAGCCACGTGTTTTCATTATGAATATTTTAACCAAATAATTAAAATTAAATTAGATAAGAAATTAAGGGGTTTTTTTTTTAAAGTTATTTTTTAAAAATTTTAAACGTATTTTTAAAACAAATTATTAATAATTTCCATTAATATATATATATATTAGAGTGTAAGGATATTATTAAAAAAAAAATTAAGATAAAAGAATATTTTTTTATTGAAGGCATGTGTATTAATTTAGCTTTATATATAATATATAATATATATAAATATATAAAACTAAATCAATATATATATATATATATATATATATATTTATATAATAAAAAAGAAATTATTATTTTTATTATTATTTTATTTTTTAATGATAAATTAAAGAGGGAAGAGTCGCATTCAAAGTGATAATGATTTGCAATGCCACTAAAGCAGAACGATCTGACTCTGCGATTCGATCCACACGGGAAGGGCAATTTCGGAATTTTAGAAACTAAAATCAGTCGGTCCATTCCATTGCATTACAGAAGTCACTATAAATACTGACACTCCCACTAAGTGGCTTATCCACGATCATTAGAATCAGAGCTTCAATTTCTACGCTGCGCATACTGACGAAGACGATATTCTCGGAGAGTGAGAGATCTTTGAAGTGTAGAAATGGAGCTCCGGAGTTACTGCGGAGGAGCGGCAATGGCGGTGTTTGTTTTAGTGTTTTCTTCTGTAATGGTGGTGAGTGTTTTGGCCACTTCCAGATTGGCTGAGATCTCCGCTGCTGGTGAGTTGCTGAGGCGGAATCTGCTTGCAAATGGCCTTGGAGTTACTCCTCCGATGGGGTGAGTGCTTTGATCTTTCGCAATCTGATCGGTTTTTTGTTTTTGTTTGTTGATGTATATTCTCTGTTTTTTATTCAGATGACGCTGGTTACTTGACTGAATTTGTATATTTTTTATGTTAATTTGTAGTTCTTTTCGAACCGATTAGATTTTCGACTTTTCGTCTCTCTGTTTCAAACTTTTGATTATTATCCCGTGGAAATGTTAGGTAAAGAGTGTTCTGGGAGATTTTCTTAATTTTGCTATTTTGTTATATTCGGAAGACTAGGAGAAAGGTTTGACGTATTTGGCACATACTTCTCTAATTATCTTATTCTTCTCTGTATTTGTCCTTTTCGTTCTGTTAGCGAGATGAGCTTGGTCTCTCTCTCTCTCTCTCTGTCTTTCTTTTTGGATTAATTAAGATCATTTGTAATATCCGATTGGAGGAAATGGAATAAAGAACATTGTTGATGAAACTGTTCTTATTTTAATTTGAAAATTCCTTGTTGTTGGACAGATGGAATAGCTGGAATCATTTTGCATGCAATATCAATGAAAACATGATTAAAGATACTGGTAAATTTCATCATCCAATATCTCTCTTACTTCAGCTCTCAAAACACTAAATAATAATTAATAACAAAAAGCCCTGGTTCAACAGCTGATGCTTTGGTCTCCACTGGGCTTTCGAAGCTTGGATATGAATATGTCAATATCGGTATGGGCCGATCTCTTCTCTCTTTCTCTTATAGTTCTAGTTCAAGATTCTAAAGGTAACCTCTAAATGATATTTGACTTTTCTTAGATGATTGCTGGGCTGAGATAGCTCGTGACGATAAGGTAATTTTGTTACATTCTTTTTTCTTGAGATTGCACGAGAACTGTTTGATTTTATGTCTCTGGGAGTTCTGACTTCTTTTTAATATGATTTAAGGGTAATCTGGTGCCGAAGAAATCGACGTTTCCATCTGGCATGAAGGCTCTTGCAGATTATGTTCACGCCAAGGGTCTTAAGCTTGGAATCTATTCTGATGCTGGGTAACGATAATTTTCAACTGCATAATCTATATTTTATTTTTACATTTCAAGTCTTAATTTATCTTCTATGTTTATGTACATATTTTTTCTACTTTACTGTTTATTAGGGGCAAGACTATGCAAAGTAGATAGGTTTTACATATTTAGCTTATTGAATTAATATATGGGATAATTCCAACTCTACTGTATCTTAGAGACATTAATGCACATGAAAGATAATTGAAAATTTCTGAAAGTTAATAGGGAAAAAGAGGACTATTTTAGTATAGATTTTCATTTTTAGCGTTTTCAAATTTCTTTGCATATTCTCTTTGTGTAAAGTCGATCTTCCATATTCACGCATTAAATTATCATGCATATGTGCAGGTATTTTACTTGCAGTAAAACCATGCCCGGCTCTCTTGGTCATGAGGAACAAGACGCTAAAACCTTTGCTTCATGGGTATGAACAACAGGGAATACTCCCTACCAAGTTTTTCAAATCATAGCATACTATGTTCACTTCTTGAAGTTTGTTGATGAACATTACTTTATTTGGCAGGGGATTGACTATTTGAAGTATGATAATTGCAACAATGGTAACATTAAGCCAACCGTTAGGTAATGCAATTGTTACAATCATAAATCAATCAGTTCACTTTTTTTTTCGTTTGGCCATTGTTGGAGTGTGAAGGGTGAAGCAGCCTGTTGAATATCTTTTCTTTTTCAGATATCCGGTCATGACTCGAGCGCTGATGAAGGCCGGGCGACCCATCTTCTTCTCTCTTTGTGAATGGTATAGCTAATCCTACTTATCCCCAACTCAGTATGGTCATATGAAACTCTTTCTTTTCTATTCTCATTTATGACAATTCCTCTCTTGCTTTGATCTGCAGGGGAGACTTGCACCCTGCATTGTGGGGTGATAAGTTAGGAAACAGCTGGAGAACTACCAACGACATTAACGATTCATGGGAAAGGTATCGATTCAAAGAAGGTTTTGCTTAGTTTCTTATATTTTAGCATCTGAATCTGAAGGATTAAAGCATTGGAGATTGCATTTGCAGTATGATTTCTAGAGCAGACCTTAATGAACCATATGCCGATTTCGCACGGCCTGGTGGCTGGAACGGTAGTGTATTCGACATATCAGACCAAATCGTTTCTAGTAGAATATCTTTGGAATATTTTGATCAATCATTCTTTCAAACTGTTATCAGATCCTGATATGCTTGAGGTGGGAAATGGAGGGATGACTAAAGATGAGTACATTGTCCACTTTAGTCTTTGGGCCATTTCCAAGGTATTGGGCTGCAGAAACTTAAATGTTCTTGAAGATTGAAAATGACCTGGTTGTTAATATAGTTCTTGTGGGGTGGTGTTGCAGGCTCCCCTTCTTCTTGGTTGTGATTTGAGGAATCTAACAAAAGAAACAAAGGAGATCATTACAAACACGGAAGTCATTGCAGTTAACCAAGGTATAAAATATATCTGGTATGGTTGGGGATATTTAGTATTCCGTTACTGTTTAGTATAGGTATCATATTTCACCATTTATTATAGGCAAATATCGAATATCGTGTATCTATTTATTGCTCTCTCTATTTCCTTTGTAATTTATTTGATTTTGTAAATGATTATAAATAAAGAGCTTTCACTCCCATTTAGGTGGGTTGGTTTTAACAAATATTCTCATGATATCAGAGCCCCTTCGGTTTAGCAACCCCGATCCTTTTTTCTCCATGACTTTTAAATCCCCTCCTCATCTTCTTCCTTTCAACACTCTAATCCATATGATCACCATCAAACTTTTCTCATCCATTTAGGTGCGGTGGTTTATTTTCAAAATACGTATGAATGATCATTACACTTTCTCGGGTCATCCATGGTATTGCTCGCTTCTCAATCTCATCAACTTTGCTTGATAATTCCTGAAACAGATCCCCTCGGTATCCAGGCCAAGAAGGTCAGAAGCGAAGGCGACCTAGAGGTGAAGTTCTAACACACACTCCTACCATTATCATATCATCATCGTTTTTGTTGTAGTAGAACAAAGAAGAGCTAAACATTCATTTGTTTACTGTTATTCCAGGTCTGGGCAGGACCTCTCTCTGACTACCGAGTAGCACTCGTGTTGCTGAACCGTGGCCCATGGCGCAGTTCGATCACCGCCCAATGGGACGACATCGGAATCCCTCCAAACAGTAACGTTCAAGCAAGAGATCTTTGGGAGGTAATTTTCTAGCACCCCCAAACAACATCATTCATGTATCCACAAAAATCTCTGATTGTGTATGAAATTTTGCAGCACACTACCTTGAAGACTATTTTTGTAGCGAATTTGACAGCCACTGTGAATTCTCATGCCTGCAAACTCTATATTTTGAAGCCAATTTCTTGAGGTTAAAGACATGGTTGGCCTGGCAGAAATAAGGTTTTAAGCTGATTTATGGAACATTTTTATGAACATCTTTGTTCAATGCTTTGTTTTTTTAAAGCTGGGCTGTAAGTTTGAGGAAAAAAAAAAAATAAAAGGTTAGCTTTTAAGTCTCGGAGTTCGGTAGTCCAATTTTCATTAATGTTTACTTTAAACCAACTAAATTCTAAAAATAAAAATAAGAAAAAATATTCTATTGTACAAAAATAATGTAAAAAATCATGAATTTTTTCGATCTAAAAAATATTTTTAAATACTTTTAAAGTTTAAAAAGTTAGTTTGAGATGAAAATAGAAGAACTTTTTTTAATTAAAAAAATATTTAAAAAAAAGACATTAATTTTTTAAATTTACATTAAATGTTTGTAGATAATCTATAAGGTGTGGTTCTACTGAAACAAAGTTGCTATCAAATGTATGACGTAAACTCTTTGTTTGGAGAGATTCATTTAAAAATAATTTTATAACAAGATAAATATTCAAAGCAAATTAAAATAAATAAAAAAATATATAAAAAATAACAATGACCTATACTTGCAAAATAAATGCAACTACCCTAGTTCTACGATCTTTAATCGACACCGCAACCGTAAAATAGAAGAGTAACACAATGCTCGAATATTTTAAAGAATACTAATGAAATATAAACACATGTAATATGAATCAGACCTATAAACAATGAACGTCGACATAAATAATTTATGTCAATGTAAATAATTAAATCAGCATAAATTTAAAAATTAAGATAAATTAAAAAAATCATAAACTAAATTTATAATTTTCTCGGGTTTTGATTTGTCTTTTAGATAACGTATCTTGTTGATAGGAAGGGAATGTAATTTCAAGCTTCAAAATTAATATTTTATAAATTTAAATTTTATATTTTCAATAATTAAAATTCAACATTATTTTTTTTTTAAAAAATAACGCAAACATATTTCAAAATTTATAGAGAAAACCAATCAATAATAATAATTTTTTAAAAATTAATAATAAACTATTAGAAGATATAAATTTTAATATTTGAATGAAATTCAAAATAAATTATCAAAATAATATAATATTTTGACTAAAGCAAAAAAAAAAAAAAACCAATTAAAACTGCAACGAAGGGGAGCCGAAATTCAGAATATCGCTGTGTAAAAGGTTTAGGAAGGGTTTAGCTCGCACGGAGTCGGTTGTTCGAAGGAGTCTCTGAAGCTCAGAAGCCATGGTCGTGAAGCCGTCGGGCGGCGATTCAAAGTTAATCCAACCGCATTCTCTCAGTATCTTTGTTTCTTCGTTTTCATTTGATTGCATCGATGATGAATTGCAATTTTCCGACATTACTGATCAGTTACTTTCTACATGCAAAATCTGTAGGAACGGGAAGCAAGTCGACGATCCTAATGCAATCGGTTCGGACATTGACAAGCAATTCCTTGGCCTTCCTATCAAGTCAGCCGTCGACAAGTTTCAACTTCTTCCTGAATTTTTGAAGGTAGAAATCATCACACTGCTTGATTATATGTTTAACCACGAAAGTATCTCTATTACGCTGCTTTTGTTTAAATTTCAGCCTATGATTATTAATGGATGTAGTTTAATGATCATCTGGTTTCAGGTAAGAGGTCTGGTTCGGCAACATTTGGATTCCTTTAACTACTTCGTGAATACAGAAATTAAAAAGATAGTCAAGGCCAATGATCGAATTCAATCCAGCACCGATCCGAGTATTTATCTTAGGTACACGTTTTTCATTCATGTACCTCAGTATATATAACTGTCTTTCGAGTGATTTATCATTAGGTTATAATCATCTCTATTTACTCCTCTGTTTATTTTTAGCTATTGTGAAATTCTTCCCAATTTTTTTTTTTTTTGCAGATTTCTTGATGTAAGAGTTGGCGAGCCTTCTGTGACCATGAATGCTGTCAGTGAATCTATTAGTCCTCATATGTGCCGCTTATCTGACCTTACGTATGGTTCCTTCGTGAATGTTATTACCATTTAGTTCTGCCTCTGCATTGATTTACAAAAAAGCTTATGAGTAATGGCGATGTTCCCCAACTGTTCTATTGTTTCAAAATTTCAATTGCACCTATATTTTTCACTGTGCTAGTTGAGCTAAGTTGGCATTGTATTCTTCTTCAGTTAATCTTTTGAATATATTTTTACCATATTGATTCAATGCTAGAACATAGAAGGAATTTAAATCATTGTGATATAATTGCTGATTTTTATTTTTTAAAAAAATATATTTGTGCATTAGATATGCCGCTCCGATACTTGTTGATATAGAATACATTGAAGAACATCATGCACAAAAAGCCCCAAGGGAGAAGGTATAAACATTAGTACAAGGTTATGTTCATACCTGATTTAGAGTATTTATACTGATACGTAAGTTGAATATTGCAGAAAGACGTGGCCATTGGGAGGATGCCTATAATGTTACGAAGCCGTTGCTGTGTTTTATATGGAAAAGATGAGGCTGAACTTGCAAGACTTGGTTTGTGGCAAAAAAATTAGAATTAAACTATTATATGTTGCTTCTTTTCTCAGTTTTGTTATGGGATGGATAGTCATGAATGGTGTCTGTGTTTTTAGGTGAGTGTCCACTTGATCCTGGCGGCTATTTTGTAATCAAGGGCACCGAGAAGGTAATGCTTTTAACTATTTTTGTACTATTAAAAAAGTAGTAACTAGATGTTCGAATTTCATGTACAGTGTCAAACATTATCATGTACGGGTCAAACTATTGTCTTTTTAGATTGGTCAAAAGTTAGATAGCACACTCGGTCTGATATTTGATGTTTGGTTTCTAATATTTATAGGTAGTAGCTTCTAGAAGGTTCAATTATGAGTTTAGTCACTGAACGTACAAGTTTATGGACCTATTTGACACTTTTAAAGTATTAGGACCAAATGACACAAATTTGAAAATATAGACTTATTATATACTTTTTAAAATTTAAGGATCAAATGGATATGAACTTAGCTTGTGAAGATTTAGGCACTAAACTTATAATTTAACCTTTCTAAAATTAGATGACATAAAATGTATTAAAATGAAAAATTGTTACAAAAATGATCTCCAAAATAAACTTGAAAGCATAGAAAATTGTCATTTGTTCATCGTGTAGCCAATTTCCTTTGATTTTATCATTTTTCACTTCATTAAGTAATACTCATCATTCCCGTTCTGTTTTATCTATTTCTTAAAATTGCACACAGCTAAAACTGTAAAATTCTCCCATCCATGCCAGGTAGTTTTGATTCAAGAACAACTTTCAAAGAACAGGATTATCATTGATACTGACAAAAAGGGGAAGTGAGTAGACTTTTTAAGCATCTTGTTTTGATGTTCTAATTTTTTTTCTCATTTGCATGATCATTGTTCTCTGTGAAGTTAGACAAGGGTTACTATTTCTCTTCTATATAAGTATGTCTTCTAGGTTCCTAGTTTATTGTGCTTACATAGAATTAGAAATTGATTCTAATGGGCATTGTTTGAGCTTGTACTGGATCGTGGATCCATATGGTTTTGGATGCTTTTTTTGGTTGGTACATAGTTGTTTTTATAATGAATCTCTTCGTGATGTGAGTAACTTGGTCAATTAAAGCACTATCGAAGGATGCAAGGTGAGGCAACCAAGCATCAAAGGATAAAATCTCCAAGAATTCTGAAAAGAACTTTTATTATGATTCAAAAAGTAAGCTATCACAAGAGATCAGCCTTCTATTTATAGTGGATTAATAGGTTTACCTAATACCTATTATCTAGGTAAATAATTAACTGCAAACTAAAGCAATAACCATTCAAATAAAAATCACAAAACCATTACTAATTATGATATTACTGCCGTTTCTTCTTTGATTTCTTTTTTGAAATACTTGTTTTTCTCTCTTATATATTGGTTAAAAGTTCATGCTTGTGTAACTTAAACCTGAGTTTTCCTTATTGCTTCCCAGTATAAATGCATCTGTTACAAGCAGCACAGAGGCAACAAAAAGTAAAACAGTTATTAAAATGGAAAATGAGAAGATCTATCTCCAGCTCAATATATTTACCACACCAAAGGTCTGAATAATTTCTGTATTTTCAGTGATTCACATCTCTCATTTGAATGTTCTTATTTAAGCCTAGTTTTTCAATTAATTATTTGATCCTTTCGGTTTGTGGTTTTACTAGATTCCCATTGTGGTGGTCTTGAAGGCTATGGGAATGGAGAGTATTCAAGAAGTTGTGCAAATGGTTGGAAGAGATCCTCGATACGGTGCCCTACTTCTTCCATCAATTGAGGTCGCTAGCCATGCCAAAATTTCTCTTTCTTTAGACGCCCATTTTATCCTATTTTGTTTTGGTTTTTAACCAATGAATTAAGGTTGCCTTATCAAAAAAATTTCTCTGATTGCCCTCCATGAAGCATGCTAGCATCTTAGTGAACGATACACAATAAATATCAACTAGTTTTTCTATTATCAAAAATGTCCTGTAAATACCGGAGACTAGCTCCTATTTCTAGAGGATGCTAGCTCATTAGGCAAACTAATCACTGAGAAAATAACCAACTAACAACCCAACTACTAACGAGAATTCTTCCTTGCACTTAATTACAATGATTGAAAAAGTCTTTGACCTTATTCAGCTTAGATTAGTTCTTCATTTTGTTGTTCAAATAATAAAAATAAATGATGAGGGCACATAGCTTAATGGTTAAGACGACATTTTCTTTCTTTGAGGTCGAAGGTTCAAACCCTAATTTCTGCCTTCGTTGATCATTTCAAACCCTAAGACGACATAGCTTAACCGTTATAGTTCCTTTCTTGATCATTCTTCAACATTAGTAAAGCATTTTCCATGCTAAGTTAGATTTATAAATCCTTGTTAAAAAAAGCAACCAGCAAGAGCCAAAATAAGGTCTTCCTCCAAGCTCTTTGGCGTTATTTGATCCCCTCCATGAACAAAATGATGAAAAAAACCCAAAAATAACTTTTCTATTGTTTTTGATCCTATCTGAGAATCTTCCTTGAAAGAATTTATCAAAATCAACAAAGTAGCCTACTAAATGATGATTTATATTCTCTTTTATTGACAATCATTATGTGTAACTAACTTAATATTGATGAAATGTATATGCATATGCATGTAAACTTGTTTTGAAACTGTTATGCTGTAGCTTTTGAGTGTATGGATATAACTTTTATTGCACTTGTTTTATAGGCTGTGTAGTTTTGAATCCGTTTTATGCGTTATCCTTTGTCAGTTTTATAGTTTTTTTCTTCTCTTTGACAATTGCACTATTATTGTAGGAATGTGCGAAGGAAAAAATATATACACAAGAACAAGCATTAGAGTATCTTGAGACAAAGGTTTGTATTTTTTATACCACTGATTATTGATATTTAATGTGGTTTTATTTGTTTAGTTCATTTATTGATATTGATAACTCAAGTTTAAGGGAATGTTGCCGCCGTCTTAGGGAATTAGTTTGTATCAATAAACGAACTTCAACACTACCTTTGTTAAGATATAAACCATCATCTCAATATTATCATTTTCATAGGGGTTTCTTTCATTTGTTACACTTGAGCGTTCCAAGTGTTATTTTCTCTAGTTTGATATTAACCATAATTAGATTAAGTGATGCCTTGTTTATAAACTCAGCAATTTTTTATATGCCCTAGGTCAATCTCTATGTGGGTGCTCTGTTTTCCCGTTGCTCTAGAACTATTCATATCTGATATTTATACATCTTATTTTCCTTTATACTCGGGCATGTTTGTGCATTGTTTTGTTGGCATGCTATATTGAATTTTTTGAATTTTGTTTGTTTGCTGACAGGTGAAGAAGTTTCAATTTTTTAGTGCTCCTCCAGAAAAGGTTTTTTTCTTTCTCATTCATTTTAAGTTTTTGAGTATGAAGTGCAAGTTATAGTAATTTGGGATACATTTTTAGCTGCTGTCTTTCCTTTTTGGGTATAAAAATGACTTTATTGATAAATGAAATGATTTAAAAACTTGATGGGTTAGTTGAGGGCTCTCCAATTAGCCAGGATGGAACCTGTACGCCTAGAGGCGGAAGGCATAATAGAATTTCAAAGATTCAAACTCCAACAAGGAAGTTGAATTTTTTTTGTTTTGGTACACTCTTAACCAAATTTTTCATAATAGGGAACCAGAGGTGTTGATCCAGAGGAGGATGTACAAAGTGTTTAAAAGAAGCATAGTTTTTTAATAGATTATGCAATTCATATAATTTTTTTGTGTTTTTAGATACTAACCCTATGCTTGCTACATAAATATGCTTCTTTTGAAGGAAAAATAGTAACTGTGACACTCTTTTGATTCATTTATCAGGAAGGAAGGGCTCTAGGGATACTTCGTGATGTTTTTCTTGCCAATGTCCCAGTGAGTGGAGTTTCTCTCATATTAATTTGTTTTGATTCTTATATTTGTTTGCTTTAACCGCTCATGTTCTTCAATTGTGTTCTCTGATTAGGTCCATAAAAATAACTTTTTTCCAAAATGCATATATGTTGGCGTCATGATGAGACGGATGATGGATGCAATTTTAAATAAGGATGCTATGGATGACAAGGTTAAGTTGCAACTTCCCAACATGAATGTTTTATTATCAGTCTCCTGATTTGCAGATTATAATTAAATTCAACTTGCAGCTGACTAAACTAATATTGTTTTCATAAGTTATTATCTGAAAAAATTATCTTATTTCCTGTAATATTGTAGAATTCTTTTTTATCAGAGAACTTAGTATGTGTAATTTTTTCCATTATCAAAGAGGGAGGGTACAAAAGAAGGAGACAAGAGGTCCCCACAAGGCAAGGGAATTATAAGAAAGCTTTTAAATTGTCAAAAGCTTTTGCAAAGGAATAATTATAGAAATTGCTTGAGATAGCACAACAGCTAGAGGCAAACATTCTACAATTATAAGTCTTTTGAAACAAACATCCAAAGTGATGCATAAAAACTAGCAATGGCTAAACTTCCTCTAGCATAAGACAATCATCTCTTTTACAGGGGAAATAAAGTTAATTCAGCTAATACTCTTATGCCTAAAGCTCTTTTACTGCCAAGTAACGATATTCTATATAAGCAGAAGCATCTTTGCAACCTTGATTTGTTCTTGTGTCCAATAATTATTTGTTAAATGTTCACGAGTGTCTAGCAAGTGTTTATTGTGATAATAAGTGTTCGATACGTGCCTGACAATTGTTAGTTCTATTCAATTTTCTCAATTAGTGTTTGATGTATTTAATGTGCTTAACAATTGTTCAACACATGATATAATTTTAAAGGGTAGTTTCTTGTTGAAGTATAGGATTATGTGGGCAACAAACGTTTGGAGCTATCTGGTCAGTTGATCTCTTTACTTTTTGAGGTATATGCTATTTACTTCTACCTGTGGACTTCTCATTTGCTGTTTGTTATTTAATTGTGTTCTTTAAAGATTAAAAAAAAAAAAAACTGAAGTGTTTACTTGTAATTTTTCTTTGTAGGATTTATTCAAGACAATGGTTAGTGAAGTGAAGAAGACAGTTGATAAGCTTCTTGGAAAGCACAGTAGGTCAAGTCGGTTTGACTTCTCTCAGGTTAGAATCTATTTTCAAATTGCTAAGTGATCTGCAGCAGAAATTTTGAGGATTGTTGGTTCATAATTATATTTAACAAGCTATATAGATTTTTGAGCTGGTGGAAGAATAAAGGGGTGAGGTGTACCCTCTTGGCATCTTATATTAACTCCTTTTAAATTATAGAAGGAAAGGTAGCAGATTCCCCCATCTATAATGGCAAGCTTGGGTGGTAACAATTTTTAGTGTCAACTGGAAGAGTACAACAATTTATTGAAAAACACATTTTTTCCTTTTACTCTAGAGATATCATTAAATAAATATCTGTCTTTTGCAGCATCTGAATTCAAACATTATTTCTTTTGGGCTAGAAAGGACCCTTTCAACTGGTAATTGGGATGTTAAAAGGTTCAGGATGCACCGGAAGGGGATGAGTCAGGTCATTGTTCTTCTCTTTGTCTTTTATCATTCAATTCAGTTGGCGTATGCTATCTTGTATAACACAAAACTTGAAAACTTGGCGAGGAAGATTTCTGAGCTTTTTCCCTGACCAAATTGTTATTTCTTGGTCTATCATTGGATAAAGGTAACATCAGTTGAGTAAGGGCTTATTATTGCTGTTCTATATACATCCACACTTTTATGCCTAATATTCAATTAGATTGTTCAAGTTTCTTTCCTGTTAAAAAAACAAACAATTTTAATTCGAGATGAACCATATCTCCAAGGCATTAGTAAGAGAAGCACATATTCCATTGATTGAAGTGGAAATATTACAAAAGAAATGGAGAGAAGTTCTCCTGGCAGCCTAGAGTGGATAACAAAAGCATTTTCACCCGGCCAAAATCTCGAACTTCAATTCATATTGTTTAGAAATCTCTAGTCAACAACTGAACAGGATCTATTTTGTATAAGACATTCAATCTTTTGAAACCAACACTTCTAAGAGTTATTTTGCATGCAAGGAATTTGGTCATAGACTTCAAGTGTGATCTTTTATATTCTTTTTCCAGTCAATTATTAAAGCATTCTTCTTTATTAGAAAATTTAAAGAGAATAGATGAAAATTTATGATAATTAGAAGAGGACAAAATATCCTCTCCCTATAAGCTAATGTATAGAATTCAAATACAATAACCTTTCACGGCAAATAGGCTTCCCAACTTTCAAACCCATTGTGTATCTTTCCTCTCTGTCTAATATTTTTACTTTCTATAGTTATACCTCCCTCATTGCAGATTGGAAAGGTCTTTTGTAAACATCATGGATTATACATCCCTCTTGTAAATTTCACTCATAATCTTCTACTCCCTGGTCTTTGGTGCTACGCACTTTATCCTATTTCACATTCCTGTATTCATTGTTTTCCTTCTCTTCTTGTCATAGAATTTGTACTGTATTCTCCTTAGCAATAATTTATTCTGTACTGAGAATTTTAATTTTCATTAATGAGAATGCTCGCTTATTCGTTTTTTGTGATTTATCCAGTCACTTTTAACTTTTTTTTAAACATACCTGACTTAATGCAGTTCTCTTGTCGATAGGTTCTTGCTAGGTTATCTTTTATTTCTACTATGGGTCATGTGACTAGAGTCTCCCCACAGTTTGAGAAGTCCAGGAAAGTTAGTGGACCAAGAGCACTACAACCTAGTCAGGTAAGGATAATCAGTAAACATCAATCATGCAAAGATTTATCTTAATAATTATTACTGCTATTTGGATATTTTTCTTAATGTCTAATTATTAAGAGCAATGTCCACAATAATTTCTTTGTTATTGTACAAAATATTTCTGACTTATTTGTGATATTTATTGCTGTAGTGGGGTATGCTTTGTCCATGCGATACTCCAGAAGGTGAGGCTTGTGGACTTGTAAAAAACTTGGCTCTGATGACTCATGTAACGACAGATCAGGAAGAAGGCCCATTAATTTCTTTGGTATTGCTCACAACTATAACTTCTTTAATCGCATTCGGGCCCTCTTTTTCACAAAATATATTCTCCTTATGTGAACTGCCGCATGGCTTCCTTTTATTTATTTCTAATCCACACCTTAAAAGATTCAAGAACAAGGTAAACCATAAGTGTCATATAACAAAATGAAGGTCAAAGATTCATGCTGAAGAAATATTCAGCCTAGCACCCATAAAGAAGTCGATGTGTGGTGAGAGGATCTTTAGAGGGACTGAGAGACTTATAGTGAGGTTTGGTCCACCGCCAGATTCCATGTTTCCTTTCGAGTGTTGGTTTCTAAGAACTTTTGTAATTATACGCTTGGTCTTTATTTTACTTGATTGAAATCATTTCTTTAGGTGGGTTCCTTTTGTAGGCTTTGTTTTCTGGATGCCCTTGTATTTTTCCTTTTTTCTCCATGAAAGTTTGGTCTCTTCTATACAAAATAGGACTACCTTTAGAGGGAAGTATACATGCAAGATCCCATAAGCAAGGGGAGTAATCTGATATAATCCTTCCTGGGTTGTGTTCAATTAAATGCCAAAAGAAGAGAGGATAACATCCACAATCCCCGTATTTTCAAGAGTCATCTTTTTCTTCATTTACAAGCTATCAAGCTATGCACATAAGTAGTCCTTCTAACTGAATGAAGAACTAGTAACCGTGCTTGCTAATCTTGAAACCTAACATTCGATCACCCTTGCATCACTTTTTTTATAGTTTTCCAGCCTTCAACTTCTCCATAGGAAATAGTAAAAATGCAATTGTTGCGTCTATTTAATAATGTTTCTTGAACAATCATAATCCAATAAGCCCTTCAACAACTGGGGATGCATCGATATAGCCTAGTTTCTTGAGTGCTTTCTTCTATTTCTCGTGTGTTCCTTGGGGCTTTGTGTTTATTTATTTGCTGTTCTCAAGAAGTTCATGGCTGTTCAACGTACCAATGTTTTATATGAATTTTGAATTGTACATTGTTGTATCAATAGTGCTACTGTTTGGGTGTCGAAGACTTGGAGCTTCTTTCTGCAGAAGAGCTACATACACCAAATTCATTTCTTGTTATTTTTAATGGACGTATCCTTGGCAAACATCGGCGGCCTCAGGTGAAGATATTCTTGAACTCTAGTTTATAGTTTACACTCCATTCTCTCCGTGATTGACAGATAAGTGTAGCATGTTCATTGATTAAAATTTTTCTTCTTGTTTCACACTTGTCGGCTTCTTCCTTTTAGTACTTTGCTACTGGTATGAGAATGCTGAGGAGAGCTGGAAAAATTGGCGAGTTTGTCAGTGTCTTTGTGAATGAGAAGCAGGTTAGTCTCTTTTTTGTTCTTGTTCTCCTATAACAATGTGCCAGCCACTCTAGGTTTATTCTTATGTTCAATGCTTCAGTATAGTATTTAGCACTTATGGATAACACTCTGCAGTGTTCTTCAACTTAAAGTCTTAATTTGGACATATATTGTTACATTCAATTTATAACTCATTCTGCTGAAGAAATTCAAACAGCATTTTTCGTTTCAGATGCCCAAAGTTCTGGGCAAGGGTATTATGATCAAGTAGCATTTTATTGCTTTGAAATGAGCTTGTATATGAAAATGTTTGATAATATTTCTGCGCAAGAAGTAGAAAGGTTGCATTTTTTGCAGTGGAAATGTGACTTCCCTCATGAATTACATGTAATTGAGACAATACTTTCATGAGACCATGTTCATACTTGAATGGGACATGATTTCCATCTTCATTTTTTTTCCTGATATTTGTTACACTTGCGAACCACTAAGCCTGTGTTAATGTATCAGCACTGTGTATACATTGCTTCTGATGGAGGACGAGTTTGTCGTCCGCTTGTCATTGCTGACAAAGGTGTATCGAGGATTAAAGAATACCATATGAAAGAGTTATCGGTAGGTACATTCAACTACTGCTGGCGTTTTTGTTCCTACTTTGCATCAAACCTTCAGAGTTACTGATGAAAATATTTTTTTGGTCACTTTTACTTTTTTCCAGGATGGAGTCCGTACATTTGATGATTTTTTACGGGAAGGTTTAATCGAGTATCTTGATGTGAACGAAGAGAATAATGCTTTGGTATGTTTACAACTGAACTGTCTGATGTTCTTTGATTATGATACGTTGTTTGATCAACAAAAACAAACCAAATGCTTCATTTTTCAGATTGCTTTGTATGAAGGAGAAGCTACACTGGAAACAACTCATATTGAGATCGAGCCCTTTACCATATTAGGCGTTGTAGCTGGGTTAATTCCATATCCTCATCATAACCAATCACCTAGAAACACATATCAGGTTGGTTTTCTACGATCTCCATGATTCTCTCCCTACTTATTAATTATTTAACAGTCTTTAAGTAACTGTATTCTTATTCATAGTGCGCTATGGGAAAGCAAGCCATGGGAAACATCGCATACAATCAGGCAAGTAACTATTTTAATTATTGATTTCTGGCTTGCAGCTCTCTTTTCTCTGCTTAAGTGATAACTTAGCACTTTCTTTGTACTTCCATATCCCTGTGTGAAAGCGATATATATATATTTTTTTGTCTCGTTCAAATTTGATTCCTGTAATTTTTTGACATTTACAGAGTAAAAATAATCATCGATCCTAGGAACTGGTTGTTGTCTTAAAAACTAGGTAAAAGATCATTGAAATATGGATAGATTTCGTCTAGCTTGATTATAATAGATTTGAAATTCTTGTTGGAGCAAAAAAAATTAAGCTGTTGTGAGAGGTCAGCAGGTGCTGGATGCCAATATTTTGCAAACCTAGCATTTTTAACTGAACCTTGATAACAATTTGCACGAAAGTCTCTTTCAAGACTTCCTGCAGTACTTTTCATTTTCTAGAATGGATGTATTTATGTTACTTGAAGGGCTACCGCATTGAACGATGTGTTCCCTTTAGTAGCTTTGAGAATCATGTTGTATCTTGCAGTTAAAACGAATGGACACGTTACTGTACTTGCTGGTGTATCCCCAGAGGCCCTTATTAACAACGAGGACTATTGAGCTGGTTGGTATGATGTATATTTTTTGAGCTTCAAACATTATGGGTGCACAACTAATTACTTTGCTATTAGGTTGGATATGACAAGCTTGGAGCAGGGCAGAATGCAACTGTTGCAGTCATGAGTTACAGTGGCTATGATATAGAGGATGCAATCGTCATGAATAAATCGTCACTTGATCGTGGTTTTGGTCGTTGTATTGTTTTTAAGAAGTACGTAAATAAACTTTGGGGAGCTCAAAATTCTTTTGGCTGCATGTTATAGCTTTTACCTATTTTCTTGGACCCTGTCATGAATAGGTTTGATGGCTTGAGATAGGTCCTAAAGTGTGAAACTTGAAAGTTAGAGTTTCAACAGGAAGAATGTTCTTTGTAATCATATATATTCTACAATGTGCAGATATTCTTCTGTCAATCAGAAGTATGAAAACAACACTGCTGACAGGATAGTAAGGCCGAATAGAAACGAAGATTATTCGGGGAATATGCAGGTAAAAAATACACACATTAATAGCTTCTTTTACTGGAATTATATGGATTATTGTGTATGCTTCTGTCAATAGTTATTTTTTCCATTCAACTATTTCTGGTCATTCATTGTTCAATTATATGATGGGTAATAGTACCCTCACATTTCTCTCTTTTCTAACCAAGCCTTTTCAGTCAAGTATGTACTATATCTCCTACTCAGCTAGCTTAACTTTCATAAAGGAAGAACGGATATTATGGCTTTCTTCATTGACACGACCACCAATAGGATGCAAACCATCTTTCAATATTTGGCCTCTACTCCTGAAATCAGTATACTTGCTGTTTTTCAGACTTAAAAATTTTCCTTGTACGTTAGCAGTTTTTTTCCCATTATTCATGAACTGTGCATTTTCTTTTGCTGCAATCTGGACATTGCTCATTAGTTCGTGGAAGTTACAAGTTTAGTCACAACTTGACTACAGTTTTTTTCCTTTGAAAGAACAACTTAACCACAGTTGATCCAAAGACTAATTGTAACTACGTCAAATTGGAGTGTATTTTACGCTCCATCATGGTTTTGTACTTGAGAACATGGTTCTTAAGGAAATTACAGCCTTCTTGCTCTTTTTCAGTGAACAAATGACAACGAAGAAAATGCCAAGGAATTGAAGGCATGGAACTTAATTGCTTAATTTTTCAATAGACTTTGCATGTCCCAGTATAATAGTTACATCTTCAAAAACATATCGGTGGAAGGATAATGGGTCAAGAATCTATTGTACATTACAAAATTGTTATCAGAGTATCCTACAGAAAGGTGTGACTAAGTTGGTCAAATTGGTCAAGCTTGCATCTCTATTTGGAAAATTGATGCAATTTTTCTAATTTTTGCATGTCTTTTACTTTCCAATAGGACTGGTTCTTAAATTTTAATTTCAGAAAATTTATTTCCCTTGTAATTTACTCGATATATCCTTGCATTGTTTTAATCAACAAACAAGTGAAATTGAATCCATGTGAACCTGAACGTGAGTTTGATGAAATCTATAGCTTGGTGAGTGATTAAGCCTTGGTGTGACAATGGATGTAGCAAGCTATAAGTATCTTTCCAGCGTTCATTATCTATTGTTTTCAATACTTAGTTTGCAAATGATATCTTTCTCAACTGGAGGATTTTCTTGTAATTTTCATGTTTTCAATAGTTATTTTGCAAATCATGTATTCATTTGTTTTTTTATCTAGTTCTATACCAAATTGATCTGAGTATTAAGATTTTTTCTGGAGCTGTGATCTAAAGTGGACTTACCACTCTAACAAAGCTTCTGGAATTTTCATCGAATTCTCTTTTAGGCCATTTTGAAGATCATGTTCTTCATGTTTGGAATATATAACATTGTAACACTTGGACATTTACTTTTCCTTTTATTTCTATAGATATTAGATGATGATGGACTTGCTGCTCCGGGAGAGATTATTAGACCAAACGACGTTTATGTCAACAAACAAACCCCCATGATAACGAAAGGGACACCCTTACCAGGAATACCAGATAGGTCGGTTGCAGTCCTTTGATATCTTTGACGGGTCTCATTGATGCCATCAGTTCTTACTCTATTTTTATTATTAGTGCATTTAGGTCTTACTGATGCCATTAGTTCTTACTCTATTTTTATTACAGTGCGTATAGGCCTTGTAGACAAATATTTAAAGGTTCTGAAGGAGAGCCTACCGTGATTGATAGAGTGGCTCTTTCTACAGATAAGAATGACTGTTTATGTATCAAATTCTTGATTCGCCAGACCCGTAGACCAGAGGTGGGTAATATTTATCTAGGGTCACCTTGAATAACAATATTCTCATTCATGGAACCTTTCCCTCACATTAATTTGCATGCTTCAGCTTGGTGATAAGTTCAGTAGCAGACATGGACAAAAAGGTGTATGTGGCACAATTGTTCAACAAGAAGATTTCCCATTTTCTGAACGTGGAATTTGTCCAGATCTAATTATGAATCCTCACGGATTCCCAAGGTAAACTTTCAAGTCTCCTTGAGGGGTGTTGATTTACATATCTCCATAATTCCTGTCGCTAGAAATGTTGTATGCATATAAATTATATGTTGTTATTCTATCTATCATATGCATATAAATTCTACACAGTTTTTTAAAATTTGTTTTATGACTAATTCTTAAATTTTTATTATGCATTCATAACTACCTAGTTCTCATTATTTTTCTGCATGATAAAATAATGTAGGGTTATTTTATATAATTAAAAATTAAAAGTATTAAATACTAGATAGTTAAGTTATAGAAAAGAATTCTTGTATAACAAGGGTATGCAAACATAAAAATTATGTCAAGTTGCTTCCTCGTGAATTATGTTATAGCACATGTATGCTTGTTCTTTTAGCAGGATCTTGTTTATTTTTTCCTTCGCAAACATGATTTGCATTATACTCATTTTTTTCCTGATAAAAATATAATTAATTTAGAAAGTGGACGATGGTTCTACTTTCCATATCATGGCTTATGCTCTTTTTCTCTATCATTTTTCCAACCACAATTCTAAAATTGCATAAAGCATCATCTTAAGTTTGTGATTTGATTTATGCCACTTACTAAAGCATGTAAAGTTACTAGTGTTAATGGTTATTAATTGGTTGCTGCAGTCGAATGACAGTGGGGAAGATGATTGAACTCCTAGGAGGAAAAGCAGGGGTTTCATGTGGTAGGTTTCACTATGGTAGTGCATTTGGAGAGCCAAGTGGTCATGCAGACAAAGTTGATGCTATAAGGTATTAAGGTGCTTTCTTTACATCCACTAACACCGTCTTCTATGGTCTTTCAAGAATTATTGAATTATTTTCCTCTCCTTTTCAGCGAGACTCTTGTCAAGAGAGGCTTCAGTTACAATGGGAAAGATATTCTTTACTCAGGTTTTTATCTTCCCTGGGGGTTAATTACTCTCACGTTGAGAAGTTTAATGTCCTATTTCTTATTTGATTTTGTCCTGTTAAACATTCTAATATTTCCGTTCCTATGCATTGTGACCTGAAAAGTTGAAATGTTTATGTTGAAACATAGAGAACTTTGTTGTGATGGTTCTCTTATGTGCCTTTAATCATCCAGATCAGCTGAATGATATGGGATTGAGTTTAACCTTTTTCACACAGATCAGCTGAGCAATAAGATAAAATCTAAGCCCTAGTTGAACTTTTTAGGGTTGTTTAACTAAAATAGATAGATTCCTGATGAAGAAGATGGATATATCGGGACAAAGTCTGTATTCTTTATCTAACATTATGAAAATTTAAAGGTTCAAATCCTATTTTACTCCTAGCTTTACATTTGGTCCTTGTACTTTTAAAGTGTCCATTTTGGTCCCTATATCTTTAACTATTGCTTATTTTGATTCTTATACTTTTAAAATGTCTATTGTGGTCGTTGAACTTTCAAAAGTGGTAATTTAGATCCTATTTGTAAATTTTTTACACGACGGAAACCAGTAAGTTATAGACAAAAACACTTTTGGGATGCTTGCATAATTTTCTAGGGAACACATGATCTTTAGAGCCAAAGATCTAGCCATGTATTCTGATGCCAGAGGAAGCTGCCCTGTTGGGACATGTTTAGCCTGGTTGTGATTATCTTGACATCTTGCTTATACGGTGTGCTGCGAATAGCTAGAGGCATAGTCTTGTTAGGTTTACTTCATTATAGTCTTAGCCCCCATTAAGGATCGAATGAAATTGCACAATTTTGCTTCTATGAGTTTCCTTAGGTGTAGCACGTACCTTTTCTTGTGAATACACTCTCTGCATGCTAAATAATCGAAATTTGGAAAGAAAATTTTCCGAGACCTTTGTTCTCTGGCTCAACATTTGCTTCTCTGACTGTTAGAAGCTGATATGTTGTTTCATTCTCTAGGTATCACAGGTTGCCCATTACAAGCATATATATTTATGGGACCAATTTACTACCAGAAGTTAAAGCACATGGTAAGATTCTGTTCCTCTCCTATTCATTCCAGTTTCCACCTTTTTTTCAAAATAGAAATTTGGGTTTGCATTATTTACTGTATGAGATATTTGTTTTTTTGTTTTTTTTTTTTTTTTTTTTTTTTTTTGGGTCTAATGTTTTGTGTTAAATAGGTCTTGGACAAAATGCATGCTCGAGGTAGTGGTCCACGTGTCATGTTAACTAGACAACCAACAGAAGGGAGAGCCAGGAATGGAGGTTTGGTATCTTTTAGTTACTATTTATAACTTCTCCTCAGTGTACGAGGTACTGCATATTCAAGTAGCTGTCTATTTCTCAGGACTTCGAGTTGGAGAAATGGAACGCGATTGTTTGATTGCGTATGGTGCTAGTATGCTGATTTTTGAGCGTTTAATGGTCTCAAGTGATCCTTTCGAAGTTCAGGTACTTTTTCTTTTCTTTTATTCCTGCATTGCCCCTTGTAGTTGCACATGCTTCTAAATTATTGTCACAACAAATGAAAAAGGTCTAGTGGTTATTTATTATGAGAGTTCTAAAATTTTCCTTAAATTCTTACTTTTACATATATATAATGATAATAATAAAGCGATTAGACACGATCATGCTACTATGAACAGTTGACATCGATACTTTGTATGATAATTTTCTGTATACGTTCTTTGCAAAAAAAAAAAAAAAAAATGATAATATTGTGTATACTTTCTTTATAGTTGACGATGCTCCCCACTTATTGGCACAGGTCTGCAGAGTTTGTGGTTTGTTGGGATACTACAACCACAAGTTAAAAGCGGGAATCTGTTCTTCATGTAAAAATGGAGATAACATATCCACTATGAAACTTCCATATGCGTGCAAGCTCTTAATCCAGGTGGGTCGGGTTTTTTTTTTTTTTGTTATTTAAAAAAATTTCTTCTCTATTCGATTGTCTGCATCGCAAAGTCATAGTTTCTAAGTAACTTGGACACGGATATGAGATAGAACAACATGACACAAACACGATAACACGCCATTTTTTAACAAATCTAAGACATAAACACGGCTAGTATACATTTATTAAAGTAAGCATTTAAAAAAATATATATACCTATTTTTATATCAGAAAAAATGTATTCGATGTAATTTGCTCACAAAATTTTTGCATTTGTTTGCTTAATAAAATGAGTTTGATGTATTTTGCTTCCTTAATTTTTTTTTTTTTTTTTTTGTTCTATATTACCACATATTACCATAGGTTGAGTATCCAATACGTGTCCAACACGTATCCGAGTGTCCAAGTATTTGGTTGGACATAGACACGCTAACCAAATTAAAGTGTCGTACTTGATAGCCTAGTTTGCTTTTTTGTTGATATTAAATGTAAAAATATCCTAGGAAGTAGAATTTTTCCATTTTATGGATTGCCACATTGACAGAACAAGGATCACCATCCAGCTCAAACCTTGTGACTATAGATCACTGACTGTTCTATTCTCTATAAAAGTCGATCTGTTCTATTATGAATGTCACGATAATTGTTTTGGTATGCAGGAACTTCAATCTATGAATATTGTTCCTCGCCTAAAACTAGCAGAAGCCTGATCAACATCAAAGCCACGATTCGAACCGGTCGAGACTGTACATAGACGAAAATTTTGGAGAAGTATTTTTGCAAGCCAGTCATCCACATTTCTGTCAACGCGACCTTGAGGCTGCATCACATAGGACAAAGTAAGGCCTTTTGGGTTCTCCTCTCCGCTGCAACAGCTTTTAGTTCTCTAGCTAACCCGACGTCTCATTACTACAGGTCTTGGTGCTATAATTTATAATCCGACTCAGTGTCGCACAACACATCGAGACCCCAAGGGATTTTTGCTTTTCTCATGCACATAAGGTAGTTCAGAGGAAGGGCAATGACAAGTATTTAGGGAATGCCATTATTTGGTGAGATTGTGTGTTGTTTTACAGGATTACTAAATTATCGTAATTTTCATTCATTTAAGAATCTAAATTATATATATCCTTAAACCTCCAACCATTCTAAGTGTCATCAAAAAGTAACTGACGTGTCATCAGAAAGTGTCTGAAAAGTGGTTGAGAAAAGGAGAAATTTGAGAAAATTTTATGAAAAGTAGCTTCAAAAACTGCATCAGTTGGGTTGAATTGAGTTAGTTCGGAGTAATCTTTTGGGGCAACCAAATTTTTTTGATTGGTTAGGTTATTGATTCGAGCCATCCGAGCAGAATTCACAACCTAATCTATTATTTTTGGGTTGGTTTAGGATACTGTTTTTTTTTTTTTTTTTTTTTAATTATTTAAAAAAATGTACTTGTTTACCGTGTTATATTAATCATTAAGATCTCATATAAATTTCAAATATCAAACATTCACAAATTGGTTGGGATCCAGCAAAAAAAATGTTGACCTGTAAAAATTCAATCGGTTTGAATTGAGTGGTTCGTGTTGATCTGGTTTTAGGATCATGAATACTCCTATCTATCTTTGACCCAAGCCTCAAGTTTGAAAATCGAATCACCCGTTGGAACTAAAACGATAAAGATTAGGCTATTACTAGTTATGGAAAGTTAGTCACATTAACTCGAGCCAACACAATTAGTGGTCTTACGGTAGGAATGCTTTACGAGGTCGGTTGGATAAATTGAATGAAATATAAATATTTCATAATTTGTGACCCTTTTATGTGATGTTTTCCTATGTTATGATATGTGATGTTATACTATGTTATGATATTCTAGTGATTTTTTGTGATGCATGTAGTTCCTCATGTTTAACTATATTATTATGATTACATTTATGCCGTATGAGATACTATGTTTACTATAATGAGCATGTATGAAATCTTATGAACATGTAAGCACACCTAATTGGAAATTCATATCATGAAAAGTATGTAATATAATACTATGAATATGTAAGCATATCTCTACATTGGGGGTGGGTATCCAACTTACTCAAAAAAGAAGGTAAAGTCCAAGAAACAATAATGAAAAGTAGGTTCCACCGGCCATTAATTAATTATTTGCATGTGGTTGCATTCTCGACTTTGTAAGGTCGCTTATTGAGTATTTTTAAATACTCATCTTATGTCTACCGTTTTTCCAAGTAAAAACAAGAGCCTTGATGATGATACCCACCGAGCATGCTAAATTATATTAGTAGTATTTCCATTTTTGAACCTTGATATGGACGTTTATTTTTAAACCTTCATATGGACGTTTCTTTCTTATTTTAATTTGTTCTAAACATATTTGCAATACGTATAGATAGAAATAATTTAAATGATTTTTGGCCCTTAGTAATCATGTAATAAAAGAAAAAAAATGGTGGGTTATAATTTAAAAATTCAAATATAAAAATAAATAATAATGTTAAAAAATAAATAATCACGTGCATGGAGAAAATATTCAGCACGTTTTTCACACACGTGACCGTAGTCAGAATATTATTTACGCAAAAAAAAAAAAAAAACAACATTTTTTTCGTGAGTAAAGGTAAACATTGTTGTCATCCTTACCTTCATTGTAATTGTCATTCGTTTCTACAGTTGTTGTTACGGATCGTTGCTATTTGTAGCTGTTGTCGTGGCACAAATGTGTGCAACAATNTGTTCATAGATTGAGTTAGATCAGTTTTTTTTTTTTTTTTTTTTTTTTTTTTTTTTTTTTTTTTTTGTTAGATTTAGGATATTCGAGTCATTTATTTAAATTTTTATTTTTAATAAAACTAAAAATGTTAAAGTTGGTAAAACATATATTTATTTATTCATAAAATTTTAATTAAAATTTATATCTCAATTTTAAAATATATTTAAAAATTACCATTTAAATAATTAAAAAATATTTTAAAAACTGGTTTAGGAATAGATTTTAAAAAAATAATCATGAAATAAAATAAATAAATAAATAAATATATATATATATAATTATGCTGTAACGTATATTTTAAAATTAAAAATTATGAAATAAAATAAATAAATATATATTTGAGCAAATACCCCTATAATAAAGTTTTTATTTATATAAATCAAATTCTAACTCAAATAATTTTATAATCCAAATTAAATAGTACAAATTAGAGAGTTGGTTTAATCGATATATATATATATATATATATATATATTATTATTATTATTATTTTTTGAACCTTCTGAAATAAAAAATAATTCCAAATTTCTTTAATACCCTTTATTATTTGTTTCATTTTTTTGGCAATTACCTTTTAAATTTTTTTAAAAAAATAATATAAATTACTTAATTTTCTACCTCAACTAAAATTTATCCTAATTTTTTTTTATTTATTTCTTAAATTTTAGGGACCAAATAGATATTAACCCATTTATCGATCAATTTAATTTAATAATTATTTACTGTCCAAAGTTTGAGAAATTATACTTTGTCCAAACTTAATTTTTTTTACCAAATTAACTAAATTACTACAAAAACACAACTTTTTATTAGTCCGTTAAATTAATTCAACGGTCATTTATAGCATTAACGTGCATGAAAAGTGATAACTTAACGAATTTATTCCAACTAAGAGCGGGTTAGAAGATGAATGCTTCTTAGATCGAATTTGGAATCTATGATGGTCACTCTTAGATTCTAAGACAGCTCACTCTAGAATTAGCTTGATCAAAACTAATTCAATGAATCGGTTTAAACATCTAACTTAAAGCAAAGTTTGAAAAAGAATAACACCAAAAAGTAAAAAAAAAAAAAAAAAAAAAAAAAAAAAAAAAAAAAAAAAAAAAGAAAAAGAAAAAAAAAAAAAAAGGAAGATTGAGGAAAGATTTGTTGAATATAATTTAAAAATAAAATAGGAAAGATCGAGAGCAAGGAACTCTATTTAATTTAATCTAACAGGAAATATCCGAATTTAACACTAGCCAATGTAAATGAGAGAAATAACTGTATAGAGTTCAAACTTGAAACTGATGTCATGGGCTCACATAGGTTGACTTGGACTTCAAAGGACGGAATCGAACTTTCATTAAGGATATATTGGTGACAACGACTTAAGCTAACCNAAAAAAAAAAAAAAAAAAAAAAAAAAAAAAAAAAAAAAAAAAAAAAAAAAAAAAAAAAAAAAAAAAAAAAAAAAAAAAAATCAAATATAATGAAGTTCATCTGCCCACTACCAATTCTTCTAATCACTCTCCAATGTCAGTCACTCTATTATTTTCTTGATTTAATATGCTTTTGATTCTTGTGCACACGGTTTTTCAGCCCAAAGACTGATTTTTTCATATTCGTAGCGGATTCCTTTTTTTTCCTATTCTTCCGCAGCCGATGAGCTAGACTGGTGAAGCCAGCCAACCGATGACCCGACTCACTCAAAGAATGGATGAGAAGCATAAAATTCCTTTAGATCGTTTCATTTTTCGGCAGGAATCGAACTTTTTCAAAGAAGGACTTGAACCTTTTATAGACTAGAAGATTCATAATGCTCGCAATACGAAGAAGAAACTCATAGAAGAGTCTCGAAGGTCATTTTGTCATCAGTGGAAAAGCATGCATGATACAAATACTCCTCTATGCGACCCCGACCTAATTCATGATGAGCCTACCAACTTCCCGGCAATAGCGCTAGAATAATATATAATACAAGGAGGGGGCTAAAAAGCCGTGGTTTGCTGTCTACTTCGCAGCGTTCACAGCCCCAAGCCAAAGGGCCGAAATCTAACTAGTTGATAGAGTCGGATTCAAAGAGTTTTTTTTTCGCATTTGAGCAACTGTTATAAAAATTTTTGGGCTTAAAAATGTTTGTTCAACTCGTACACTATCTAACCGATGCAATGTATAGGCCTCTTGTATCTTCTTAGCCTTACTTTTTGTAATCAATCTTTCGACTAATTATATCAAAAAGCATATAATAAAAATAGGTTTAAATAATATTCAAAATTTCATATTATATATTTGTTATAATAAAAATATAATTATTATAATAAAAATTTAATATAATCAAGAAATTAATTATTTAAATATAAAGAAAGGAACCAAAAATGTATTTCCAGAAAAAGAAATAAATAATAAAAAGAAAAAATGACAAATCAAAATTGTATTTTATCCCAAAAAAAAAAAGAAACAAATAATAAAAGGGAAACGTCCGGATTGTACAGAGAGGAGCGGTGGACCAGGTCTCAGATAAGGACATGGAATATGGCGCATGCAGTGACGCTCCGCCATGCGATCCAACTCTCCCAGACGCTTGGCAAACGTCCGGATTCCATAGGCCTCTCTACTCATTACCAATCATCTCTCTCAAATCGGCGACGGCAAAAGTGAGCTCTGCTGTGGTGTCAGCCGTGTCGGTTTCCGGCCATTAATGGTGGAGTGGGTCCACAATCTGAGGAAACTGGTGGCTGTTGTTGGAGACGGGACAAGGCTCGTTCGTTTAGTATTTACGGGGAAGAGCCTCGTTCCTTCTGCCTTGGCGAGACATTTGAGTTTTGTTTTGTTGCTTGGCATTTGGAGCAAAAATGGCGGACGAAAGTCGGGAGAGATTTTTGAAGGAAGAGCATTGCTACTACGAGAATTGTCCTGGATGTAAGATGGAACGGCATAATCGGCTGCACCGCGGCTTTCCTTTCCGTCATCTTCTTTTGATTTCGCTTATCGTTCTAGTCACTGGTTCGATTTCTCTCCATTAATCTTGTTCGTTTTTTTGTTTTTGTTTTTGTTTTTGTGCTAAACGCTGCATGAATGGAGTATGGTGTAGAATTTTCCCTTAAATGTCGATTTGAAACTCGGTTTTGGAGGTTCCCTCCACTTCACTCTCCCTTTTCACTTCAGGCTTTCATGTCTGCTGTGTTCTTTTACTGAGAAGCAGACATGGATCGCAGTGTGGAATTAGGGAGTCAGTAAGAATTTTCGAAATGAAGAATTTCTCATATTACTCTGCTCTCAATCAGCTAGTAAACTAATGATAATCTAGCTATTGAAGTGCCTGGAAAAGATAAACTGAAGCAGAAATTCTCTACTCTTCACTGAAAATACAAAGAAAATGACTCTGCAGGAAATAGTTCGACATATATTTGTTTTGAGATTGAGAAATATCTGCTGAACTGATTGATTTGCAAATTTTTTTGGTCAATCTTTTATTTGTCGAGTGGTTTGGATTTTGCACCTTACTTTCTTCATTTTTTTCGTTTCCAGGATTGCCGATATCAAGTCTTTTCCCATTCCTGTATTTCATGGTGAGTTTGTGTCTGATCTGTAATTGTGGATGCTTGGTTTGCTCTTTCTATCAACTATGCTGGGAGCCATGTAATGTAATTGAATATCACCAGATAAATATCATGATTACTAACATGCTGAAGCTACATGTAACAAAATCAGAAGCTTATGTTGTTCATGTTGTTCATGGCCATTAAGTTTTTGTACCAATGAGACTATTTATTTCCAATTTGAATGCAGGTTCGGGATTTTAACATTGCAGAAAAAGTAGAAGATATTGGCTACTATTCTGGTTTTATCGGTAAGATTGCTATAAACATTTAACTTCTTCGTTCGATTTCCCTGTCGTTCATCGTTCTTGAATCCTCCATTTTCTCCTAACAAATTCCTCATACAACTTGTAGGAGCTTCTTTCATGATTGGCAGACTGTTAACGTCTGTTTTCTGGGGAATCGTGGCTGATCGCTATGGTCGAAAACCTGTTATTCTTTTTGGAATTATTTCACTGTTAGTTGCTGAATTCATTTGCCCTTTTTAAGTGTTCAATTCTACTTTCACTTCAATTTTTCTTCTCTGTTGGTTACTGATTTCAGGATTATATTCAACACCCTATTTGGCCTCAGTTTAAATTACTGGATGGCTGTTATCACCAGGTTTCTTCTTGGAAGCTTAAATGGCATACTTGGACCAATAAAGGTACTCACTAGAATCATTTTCCTTTTAAGAAATGCATAATATTTCTTCTTGATGAAAGTTTGTTTCTTACTCCATTCGTTTCTCATGGTTGCCAGGCATATGCAATTGAAAGTGTTGGTGTAGAATATCAAGCTATAGCTATATCATCTGTGAGTTGTGCTTCAAAAGAACTCTCTCTTCCTTTTTATTGTGAGATCCCACAACGGTTGGGGAGGAGAACGAAACATTGTTTATAGGGGTGTGGAAACCTCTCCCTAGTAGACGCGTTTTAAAAACCTTGAGGGGAATCCCGAAAGGGAAAGTCCAAAGAGGACAATATTTGCTAGCGAAGATATTGCATTTATCTAACCGCACTGCTTGTGCCAATGCTTAAACTTTGGTTTAATTTCAGATTAGTACGACATGGGGAGTTTCATTGATATTAGGCCCGGCTATAGGAGGGTATCTTGCACAGGTACTTTTTGTCACATCCCATCAGCTAATGGAATAACGCTGAACATTTGAACTTTCAAATTGTGAAAGACTACTTTTTAATCTCTTCCATTCTTTTGTTCCGAACTGATAATCACCAGCCAGCAGAGAAATTTCCTAGCATTTTCTCCAGTGAGGGTCTTTTTGGGAGGTAAGTTTGCCGACAGCCTACACTTTCATTTTTGCCATAATTATTCACTGTTCGATACTGTGCTCACAGCTGGGTCCTATGGTGCAGATTTCCTTACTTCCTGCCCTGTCTTTGTACGTCAGTCCTTGCTGTAGCTACAGGAATAATCTCTCTCTGGCTTCCGGTATGCCCTTTATCTCTAGATGCATACTCATTTCTTCTTATTGATCGTAAAGTAGGAAGGTTCTTGTTTTGCTTATTTATTATTAATCTTCTATTTTGGTATTGTGAAGGCCATTTCAAATATGATTTAATCTGGGTTTTGGCTTCTTAAACCATACTGAATTTCTAGGGAAAGTTACTCTTGAAATTGGGTTAGCGGAACTTGACCATTTAGTTGAGGTTTGTGCCCGCAATTTGGGAGAAAAGACAACTCCCCTAGATGTAATATTTAAATATTGGTGACCGACCTGATAGTATATCTTCTAATGGAACATTTTTAAGTTTAATCATCTGAGAACTTAGGTGATTTTGCATCTCCTTACCCAGTTTCTTCTCGGCTTGATATAGCTTTACTTTGTGAGCGATATCTTATTTGACATCGCAAGCTATCATTACTGATCCTGTTGTTCATCTTGTAGGAATCGCTACACAGTCACGATGAGAATGTTCCATCACCTTCTAGAACATATGAAGCTCTGGAAGATCAACCTGGTGATTGTGACGGAAAGGAAGCGACCCAAACAAACGAACAAAATGAAATGCCTTCTAAGTCGAGTCTCTTCAAGAATTGGGAGTTAATGTCAGCAATCGTTGTTTATTGCATGTTCTCACTTCATGATATGGCGTATGTAGAGGTGCGCCTACCCAAAAACAAGCCGGTCTAAATGATTTATTTTGCAGTTTCATGTTTGGAAATACATTTATATTGAAACGAAGGCATGTTTTCAGTTTCTTGAACCAAATTTCTTCTTACTTCATGAACAATTGAGTCACAATGAGTTCAGTTTTAAAAAAAAGGACAAACATTATAAAAGGATTGGATTGAAGCTTTTAACGTTCGCAATATGAACCATTTGCTTCTTTTATGTAGATATTTTCACTCTGGGCTGTCAGTTCTCGTCAGCTTGGTGGTTTGAGCTTTACATCTGGGGATGTCGGAGAAGTCCTTGCCATCACAGGTAGATCCAGAGCTCCACAACCCCACCCTGGCAGATTGCACCTTCTTGCCTGCATTCGTGCATTGGTTTATAATGTTTCCTGTTCAAAGTTCCATATTAGTAATCACACTCTTTTGTATACATCTAGTAATACAAATTTATTTCAACTAATTGTGCTGCAAACTTTTGTTTACTTGCTTTTAGGTTTCAGCGTTTTTGTGTTTCAATCTTCTTTATACCCATCTGTGGAGAGGATATTTGGACCTATAATGGTATCTCGTATTTGTGGGGTAAGTTGGCTTATCACTCTGTAGTCTTACGTTTGAATGACTACTTTTGTGATATCAAGATTATATGTACTTTCAACTTTGATTCTGAGTGGAAATCATTTCAAGTCTTAAAGCCACATTGAAATACATTATATGTTGCAGATATTGTCTATCCCTCTGCTGGCAATGTATCCATTTTTGTCTCTGTTGTCAGGACCTGTCCTTCACATTGTAGTAACTCTTACATCAGCCTTGAAGAATCTTCTCTCTGTAAGTATTGCACTAAAACTTGAATCTCTTCCTTTCCATTGATATGCAGTCTATGAAATGAAGATTGCTTGGTACTGTGTATTAATGTGAAATCTTTGAACTAAAGTTTGAAATTTTCATATTAAGTTTGTCTGAGGAGAAGCAATAAGCCTTATAATATTAAAATTTTGCTTGATCTATCTAAATTTTCATGTGTTCTTAGGTCTCCATTATAACTGGTATGTTCATCATACAAAACAGAGCCGTGGTAATAATATCTTTGCCTTTCCCTTATTTCCTCCTCTCTTTCCTTCTCTTCCATCATGCAAAAGAGCTTGGATTGATGTAAGCGACTATCTGTGGACAGGGTCAACGCCAAAGAGGGGCTGCTAATGGCATTGCTATGACAGCAGTGTCTGTTTTCAAGGCAATTGGCCCAGCTGCAGGAGGTGCAATGTAAGTGTACTCCACATTATGTGGATGTTAACTTTACAAACAAACATACAAGCTTTGATAATCAGTCTTATTTTTACTGGCCATGAAACATGTCAAATGTTGGATGCTTTGTGTTACTGCTACTAAGTTTCTTTTTCAATAAAACTCAAAGCCACGCCAGCAGATATTGTCCTCTTTGGGCTTTTCCTTTCAGGCTTCCCCTCAAAGTTTTTAAAATACGTCTATTAGGGAGAGGTTTCCAGACCCTTATAAAGAAAACTTCGTTCTCCTCTGCAATTGATGTGGGATCTCACAATCCACTCCTCTTCGGGGACCAACGTCCTCGTTGGCACTCGTTCTCCTCTCCAATCGATGTGGGACCCCCCACCACATCGGTTGGAGAGGGGAATGAAACATTCTTTATAAGAGTGTGGAAACGTCTCCCTAATAGACGCATTTTAAAAACCTTGAAGGGAAGCCTGAAAGGAAAAGCCCAAAGAGGACAATATCTATTAGTGGCTTATGCTTGGACTTGGACTATTACAAAAAGTACCGTTGAAAAACTATCACCTAGTGGTCAACATGAGCCATGTTTAATAATGAGCTTAGAGAGAATAGGTTCAAGCTATAGTGGTCATCTTACCTAGTTTTTAAACTCCTACAAGTTACACCGGCAATAAAATGTAGTTAGTAGGATTAGGCAAGTGTGCGGTGCAAATAGTCAAAGAATGTGTGGCCTGAACACTCATGGATTAAAAAAACTGTCGCTGAAAATGTCAATGTTTAGAGCAAATGGAAATAATTATTGCGTCAGCTGTTATAGCTTTTGAGTAATCTTTCTCTATGCAGACTCTCTTGGTCACAGAAGCGTCAAAATGCAGCTTTTCTCCCAGGTACATCTTCTTTTTGCTAATTCTCTCACCTGCATCCTCCTCCCCACTCTTAGATAGTCAGAACTCTAAAACATTTCACTTAAATTTTTATTTCTTATTAGTGAATCATTCAAATTTAAATTGTATTATATTAATTTGCAAGAAGCATTAGATTCATTTCATAATAGGACGTGTGTTGAGGCGTGCCATTTGCTTTCATAGCTCCACGTAGTTGAATAATAATTGCATCTCTGACAATCGCACGACTTGATATTAATAACTTTCAAACTTCTGGTTCTTCTACATAGCCATAGTCACTGCCCTCTCCTATTGCATGAAATGTATATATTTTTTTTTTTCTCTCTTTCTTGAGGCTATTATGCTCGTGGCAAGTGTTCATGTATTCTTGACCAAAAGGTTAGAGATTCGAATTTTCCCACTTCCACGTGTTGAACTCAACTGATTAAGAAGCCACATGTATTCTTGACTAAAACGTCAGAGATTCGAATCTTCCCACTTCCACGTGTTGAACTCAATTAGTTAAGCCTCATGTATCCTTGACCAAAAGGTTAGAGATTTGAATTTTCCCACTTCCACGTGTTGAACTCAACTGGTTAAGAAGTCACGTGTATTCTTGACTAAAACGTCAAAGATTCGAATCTTCCCACCTCCACGTGTTGAACTCAATTGGTTAAGCCTCATGTATCCTTGACCAAAAGGTTAGAGATTCGAATTTTTCCACTTCCACGTGTTGAACTCAACTCGTTAAGAAGTCATGTGTATTCTTGACTAAAATGTCAAAGATTCGAATCTTCCCACTTCCACGTGTTGAACTCAATTGGTTAAGCCTCATGTATCCTTGACCAAAAGGTTAGAGATTCGAATTTTCCCACTTCCACGTGTTGAACTCAACTGGTTAAGAAACCACATGTATTCTTGACTAAAACGTCAGAGATTCGAATCTTCCCACTTCCACGTGTTGAACTCAATTGGTTAAGCCTCATGTATCCTTGACCAAAATGTCAGATATTTGAATCTTCCTACTCCTCAAGGAGATATTTAGTCCATGTCGAGGATTTATCGATCCAAATTTTAGTGTGCACTTTGTCTTTTTTACCCTCTAAACTTTTATGGTGTTCGGTTGGTTGCATGAACAAAAACACTTCTCTAATTACTTGATTGTTGCAGTTCATACCTCTCCATTGGTAAGTCAAAAGAACCTCAAATGAGTATTAAAAGCAGACATTTACCAAAATGAGATTCTTCATTGAAAACTTGTACTAGTGCCGTGTGCTCTTAATCTCTCTTCCATGACCTTCTCCTATTCTTTTCACACTATTTTTAGAAGATTAGTTCAGGATTTGACATGTTTCATCTCTTCCAGGTTCCCATATGATTTTCTTCATTCTAAATGTGATCGAAGCCCTTGGAGCGTTGTTGACATTCAAACCATTTCTTGTTCAACATCAAACCTAAATCAAAGTTGAACTATAATAAGCGAAATGCTCAAACAAATAGCTATGTCAAATTCTCGACTTCGTCGTCGATGATTCATAAAAAGGTCCTATGAACTCTCCATACTCGTGCCTTCCTAACCGAATTGAGCACATGTATCAATTTTCTTTTGAGTCATAGGGCTCATTTGCATAGTTCTTGATTGGCACCTTATCAAGTCTGTTTCCTTGAATAACTACAAGATGTAGGTTTATTTATGATATATATATATATATGTATATGTACCCTTGAAATCTGTTAGGTACTTCATTTCTTACCTTATTTTTAGTTGATTTCTATGATTTGTCATTCGGTTAAAAGACCTTTTTTGTCCTTGTATTTCAGAAGTTTAGGACGTACACTTTAGATGTGTTGAGATAGTTGATGAATGATTATATAAACCATTTTAACCATATTTTTTTTCAAAGTTATATAACAAAAATGAAACTTTTCAAACTTTTGGAATACGCCTGAATGTATTTTGTATGATTGTAAGATCTCACATGGGCCGGAGAAGAACAAAATATTTCTTCTAAGGGAGTGGAGAGAGATTTAAAACTATGAGTGTAACGGGTCAAAATGGACAATATTGTTACAAATGATATCATAGTCAATCAGAATTGAGCAGCCGTAGATATGAATTGTTACAAATGGTATTATAGTCAGTCATTGAATTAGACATGGATTGTTATAAATGGTATCATAGTCAATCACTAAATTGAGCGGTAGACATGGATGATTACAAATGGTATCATAGCTAGTCATTGAATTGACCAACGGTAGACATGAATTGTTACAAATGGTATCATAGTCAGTCACTAAATTGAGCGCGGTAGAGATGGATTGTTACAAATGGTATCATAGTCAATCACTAAATTGAACAGCATTAGACATGGATGGTTACAAATGGTATCATAGTCAGTCACTGAATTGATGGATGGTTACAAATGATATCATAGTCAGTCACTGAATTGAGCAACAGTAAACATGGATTGTTACATAATTGTTACAAATGGTACATAATTGTTACAAATAGTATCATAGTCATTCAGTGAATTGAGCAGTAGTAGACATGGATGGTTACAAATGGTATCATACCCGTCATTGAATTGAGATCTCACATTCAAATTCTAACCAAGAAGACGCTTAATTCACCGCCATTATTGCTCTCAGGATTCATCATATAGAACGTCTCCGAGTCCTTTGATCCAGTCACCCGCTCAAAATCCACTCTCATGTACGTCAATTGATCACCGTCCACCGTCTCCGCCGCATCCTCCGACGGAATCACGCCGGCGCCCATGGACACCGCGTTCAAAGTCTGCATAATTTTCAGATCCTCCTCCGACGGATCTCTCCGAACTCCATATCCCGATTTCTTACCATTACAGTACAATGTCCAAATCGGCTCCTCCAGAATCTTCCTCTTCTCCGACGGCCGCTTCTCGCACTCCAAGGCGAGCCTAACGAGCCCTAGCCCCATGTCCCGGAGGAGTTTCCCCGTCGGAATCGCCAATTCCAAAATTAAAATCGGGAGGCACCTAGGGCTTTCTTGAAACACGAGATTCACTCGCGATTTCCGGTATCCGAAGATCGTTCCAGTAATCCGATCGCCGCCGTGGACGTGACCGTCGTGGAGCCGACTTCCGTTGAGCGGAAATCGGCATGCCGGCGACAGAATCGGAAGCGTACGGAAAACTGTACGGATTTGCCGGAGGAGTTTTGTAGGTTTTGAAAAACCTGATCGTTTTGGAGATGGTTGGAGTGAAATTGCTGGCCGCGGCGGCGGAGACGGAGACGATTGTATCGCCGGCGACGAGAATTTTCTCGGCTCAGCCATTTTTGTCGGTGTAATTACAGAGAAATGGGTTGTTGGTAAACACGGCGGTGGTGGAGAGTGTCGTATAAGAAGAGCTAATTCGTTATGGCATGCACGATTGAATTAATTTGAATTATTAATTTTTTTAGGAAAAAAATAATTTTGTAAATATATTATTTTCTTAAATGCAATATATGTCGACTATTTTGCATCATTTTCTTAGTTTTTTTTTTTTTAATTATATGATTTAGTTCATGATGGGGTGTTATTTCAATTTAATTATTTATATTTTATTTTTTCTATTAATTAAACATTAAGTCAAAAGCATATAATTAACGTTTTTTGCTTGAGTAATAAGAACGACTAGTTAGAGTTGTTTGTGAGTTGGGTCGGGTCATATTTGAACTTTCCTCATACTCAACCAAATTGTCCAGGTTGTAAAGTTTAGTTAGTTCGGATTATTTGAGTATTTATTTGAAAATTTTTTAATAAATAAAAGTATAAATTCTAAAATATTTATTGATTTATTTTCAAACCATCTTAATAATTAAGATTTACTCTTTAATATATATTTTAAAAAAGTTAATAATTATTTTTAGAGAGGGAGAGAATAAATAAATAAAATTAATTATGAAATTAAATGAAAATGAAGCAAATATTATTATTTAATTTCTTTCAACACAATTACAAAATAAAATTATGGATTTTTTATCTATTAAAATAAGTCAAAATGATTTCCGTTGACTTGCTTATTTAATTTTACAATTTAATATGCTCACTTATTATTATTATTTTATTAATAAGAAAAACAAAAGTCATAGAAAACATGGGGATTAAATTTATATATTCATATAAATTAATATAGTTGCTAATTTCCATTGACTCTAGTTATATTTTAATAATATATATATATATATATATATACTTATAAACATTGTAAGTAGGCCAAATAAACTCAATTCTTAGAATGGAGATTGAAATAAGGAGCGACAACCTTCTAGAAAGTCCAATAATAATAATAATAATAATAATAATAATAATAATAATAATACACTTTATTATATCTCTTACAAAATTTACATGGGTTACATAATAATCATTTTCATTTTCATTTTAATAGTTGGGTATTTTTTTTTTATTCTTTACATCAAAATTAATTTAAAAATTATTTAATTATTAATTTATATAGATATAAGTAAAATTAGGTTCCAAAAAATATATATACATTTTTATAGTCCTATATTTTCTATAAATTTTAAATTAGTTCCGGGGATTAATTTAAAATTATTTTTTTATTAAAGTAGTTAAAAAAACTTACTTTTTGGAGTAAAAGTTTATTAATAAACAATATTTTATAAATCATAATCCATTTTGTTAGTAGAAATTGAATAATTATTTGGGATGATTAGATACCCATATGTGAGGAATATTCCTTTTAGGAATATTCTTTTTAGTGCTCCACTTTATAATTTTATTTTATTATTATTTTGGAATCAGCTCCACTAACAAGTTTTTTAATTTTTTTTTTTAAAAATTGATTATTGTTTGTATATTTTTGGGAACATATTTTGGATAATTATTATAAATATATATATATATATATATATATATATATATTAATTTTAAAAAAAATATCCATAAACCTTATATTTTATTTCAAAAATATCGAGTTTTTTGATATATTTAATTTTAAAAAATTAAAAACTATTTTAATGGGAACATATTTTGTTTAAAATTAAAATAGTTTTAAATTTTTAAAAGGTTTAAAAAATATTCTTAAATTTTTAAATATTAAAATAATAATCCACGTCATTATATTTTATTATTTTATTGATTTATATATATATATATATATATATATATATATATATATATATATATATTACATTTTAATTTTAGAATCGAGTAGCTGCATAAAGGCATTTATTCTTATATCTAATTATTTGTTGTTCTAAGAACCAACAACATTCCATATTTCTACCCAATAATTTGATATTAGTCCTTTTTTTTTTATATTATATAAATTTTTTATTTACCCGCTACTAAAAATATAATATTTTTTAATCTTATTGAACGTGACAAACAATAAGTAAATTGAGTATAACTCAACAGTAATTAATACATATTTCCCTAAAAGCTTAAATCTTATATGTGTGTACAGTATGAAAAAAAGTAGTAATATCGGAACATTTTTTAAGGATTTTTTGTTTATTGAAATTGTATTAAAGTTAGGTACCGAACGATATGTCAGTCTTCTTGTTGTTCCCCGAAGGGAGTAAACATGAGGCGATGTGCCAGTAAGAACGCTGGCCCCAAAGGGGGTTGATTTGGCAGGGATCCCACATCGATTGGAGGGTAGACATTAGGGTATGTGCCAGTAAGGACACTGGGTCCCCAAGGAGGTGGATTTGGCAAAGGTCCCACATCGATGGGAGGAAGGAAAGAGTCCCATATGGAAGGGAGTTGATTGTGATATCCTCTATCTCGTTAGGGAGAACAAAACACAATTTATAAGGGTCTGGAAACCTTCCCATAGCAAACGTGTTTTAAAGCTTTGAGGAGAAGTCCTGTCTTAAGGCTTTGAGTGGAACCCCGAAATGGAAAGCCCATAAATGACAGTATTTACAATATATATATATATATTTTTTTTTTTCGTAATATTAAAAATAGGACAGTGGAGGAGAAACGAAGAATCTCACATCATCGTACAATCACCCAAAAATTAATATAAAATTAAATAATCTTACGACATCGTTGCCACGTCATCTTTCCCCCCCTTTTTTGTGTATATCAATTATCGTTTTTGTAAGGACCACATTTATAAAATATTTTTTTTCCTTGAATTAGAAATTATTTTGCAAATAAGATCAAAATGTAATTTTTTAAAATTTGAGGGACTAAATAGATATTTACTATAATTTTAGGGACTAAAAATACTTATAATTTTTTTTTTACAAAACTATATTGCAAATCTTAAAAATTAAAATGTAATTTTTAGAATTTGAGGGACTAAATAGATATATACTAAAATGTTAGGGACTAAATTATTTATTTATTTTTATTTTTTTGACCCACATGATCTTGAATTGAAAAGATGAAAATGTAATTTTTAAAATTTGAGGGACTAAATAGATATTTATTTATTTTATTTATTAATTTCTATTCTTATCCACTTCAGCTCCAGCAGGATTCCTGTTGGGTGTATGATGCGTATCCCACTCTCTCTTTTAATGCAACTCTTTTGGAACCTTCCATTATTTGTTTTATATGTTTTAATATTATTTTTTTTATGCAAAAAAATATATATAATTTCATTTAAACATTTTTAAACGTTTAAAATGTCGAAAATAAGGAATTTTATTTTTTAAAAAACATTTTTTAATATTTAAATTAATTTATTAGATTATATTTTGATTTTTAAATAATTATTTTCTTATTACCATGTTGAATAAAAA